GTTACATGTAAATTTAGAAGTTCAATGTTCTGAGTGGAAACTGGATTAGAAGAAACTGTGTGGGAAGAGCATCTCAAAAAGAAGCATGATCGATAATAGTAATAATAATAATAACAACAACAACAACAACAACAACAACAATGGAAGAAAAAAAGACATTGGAAGAATATCTGAAGGACAATGAAGAAGAAGATGCACTGAAGCTAGTTTATCAGGAAGGCCTATTGAATACTGGAGAGACCAAACTGGCCTACAAGGAAGACCAAATGAAGAACAGAATGGAGCCATGGGAAGACAATGCACTACATGGCCAGTACATTAAAAAAAAAAAAAAAAGCTGGCAAAGTAGATAACAACGAGACCTGGCAATGGCTAAAAACAGGAAAGCTGAAGAAAGAGACAGAAGGGCTCATTCTGGCTGCACAAGACCAAGCCTTGTGCTTGCAAATCCAGAATTGAGAAGACAGCAACAGACAACAAGTGCCACCTCTGCAAGAAAGCGGAAGAAACAGAGGCCACCTGGATTATCTGCTGCAAGAAGATTTCCCAGACTGACTACAAACGACAGCATGACGAAATAGCAACAAATGGTGCATTGAAAAGATCTGCAAGAAATGCCATTTGTCTCCAAGCAAGAACTGGTGGAACTCACAAAATAGAGAAAGTCATAGAAAATGAAGAAGCTAAATTGCGCTGGGACTTTAGAATTCAGACAGACAAGCACCTGCCACATAACGTCCTGGATTTAACAATTGTCGATAAGAAAGACAAAAAAAAATATGTCTGGATAGTGGACCTTGCAATAACTGGAGAAAGCAGAAGAGAAGAGAAAGAACTGGACAAGATAACGAAATATAAAGACCTGCAAATAGAAGTAGAACCGCTGTCGCAGGAGAAAGCAAAGGTAACACCAATAGTCATAGGTGCCTTAGGTGCAATCCCAAAACATCTGGAGCATCATTTGAACACCATGAGTATTGACAAAATCACCATCAGGCAATTGCAAAAGGCAGCTTTATTTGAAACGGCTTATAGCCTGTGATGATATCTTTAATACCACCAAAGAACAACATCTGTCTATGCCAGGTCCTTGGGAAGGACTCAGTGGCTGGACAAAAATGCCAAATCCAATCTAAATATCTGGATGACTCTGCAAACAGCCATAATAACAATGTGCAGGATCAGCTTTCTCCCATTTTCCATCCAGGTTCCCTGGCCAATCACTCAAAGGCATTTACTGCCATCTTCTGGAAACACAGAAAAAATGACATTAAGCTATTTAATTGAGCATGCCAAGCTGGTGTAATGTTTTGTTTTGAATTGTTCCTCACTTCCTTGGATAGTTGCCTTTGAAGGCACAAACAGGAGTCTTCCACAGCCCCTTGTGCTCAACTGTACATTTAGTTGAAAGTCACCCAGGCTGAACTTCAAACCATCCTGTCTGCAAAGTTATGAAAGGATCTCTGTTCTTCTTAGATTTTATTAGGCGCAGAATCAAAGTTATCGTTTGAAAACGAAACAGTAGGCTCATTTATGGAACAGTGGCCAGACTGACGTCCAAGTAAGCATGTACAGCCATCTTCCCAAGCTGACATTCTCCCAGCATGTTGGACGGCAACTCCCATTATCCCCAGCAGCCTGGCCATTGGAATGTGAAAGTCCTTGCTGCTCTCTGTTTTCTTGCAGACGATTCATTACTCAAATTAAGTAAGATCATCAGTGCTAGAAGGGATTCCTTATTAGGGACTAGCACTGATGATGTTCCCTAGTTGGGTCATGAAACGTCTGCAAGAAAATAACCAAGCTCCGAGAGCACCAAGGACCCCACAGTCCTCCTCCTCCTCCTCCTCCTCCTCCTCCTCCCTTCTAGTATTGATGATGTTCCCTAGTTGGGTCATGAAACGTCTACAAGAAAACAACCAAGCTCAGATAGTACCAAGGACCCCACAGTCCTCCTCCTCCTCCTCCTCCTCCTCTTCTTCTTCTTTTTCTTCTTCTTCTTCTTCTCCTCCGCCTCCACCTCCTCCCCCCCTTCTAGCACTGATCATGTTCCCTAGTTGGATCACGAAACGTCAGCAAGAAAACCACCAAGCTCAGAGAGCACCAAGGATCCCTCATGTCAACCCTGAGCTACAAATAGTGTCCTTAATTGGAACACTACAATCTAATAACATCCTAATTTTTGTGGAAATCTAAAGTACAGCTAGTGACCATTCAAGGTCGCAGTGACACTTTAAAAAGCAACTTACAACCAGTTCTCGCTCTTAACGACTGTTGCAGCATCCCCACGGTCACGGGATCAGAATTTGGGTGCTTGGCAACCAGAGTGTATTTAGGATGATGGTAGTGACCTGAGGTTACGTGATCGCCATTTGCGACCGTCCCATCCAGCAAAGTCAGTGGGGGAAGCTGGGTACATTTAATGACTTCCTGATTCACTTAACGACTGCAGTGATTCGCTTAACCCCCCCCCCCCCGTGAAACAAGCCGTACAATCAGGCGCTGCTCACTTAACAAGTGCCTTGCTTAGAAATTCTGGCCTATTTCAAGACTGACCTGCAGCCATAAAAAGCTGAAACCAATACCAAATGGGTTTTAAATAGAGTTTGAAGGTCAAGAGTCTGGTGGTAGATTTTTTTTATAATCCCTCATTTGGACTTTGTGACAACTAGTTGTGTGAGTACCTTCAAGACAGCTCCTTTTAAAAGGTGGATTTGTTGCAACGCTTCCTCGGGCTGACATTTATTATGTAACTCTGCTAAGTGGGAAAACCCTCCACCCTTCAGAGCTTTAATCTCTTCCCAAAGTTAATCTTCATGACTTTCCAAGTGGCAAGTCTTTCAGGTGCTTTAACTCAGTGATTCTTAACTTGGGCGATATCGCCCCAGGGGGCGATTTCGTTTTTCAGGGGGGCGATGGAACCAAAAGGAGTGATGCAGGAGCAAAGGAACAAAAAGGGGGTGATATGGGGGCGATGGAGCGAGAAGTTTTGGGGACACTTTTGAGACTTTTTCGTACAGTGAATCGCTGTATATCTGTCGTACAAAAACATCAGATCGCTCGCTATTAGTGGATTGAATTGTGTTTTCAAATGTTCCTCCAGCTAGCTTCAGTACAGAACGCTGTACATATGTGAATACGCATCGCTTATCTTTATGCGCATTGCGCAGCAGCCTCTACCCTTTTTATATTTCTTTTTGCGTCTTAAATTTCACTTGTAATTCAATCATTAAATGTTACTGTTTTTCATTTCGGGCATTTCACTTTCTTGCAATTGAATTTTATTTTCAGTGGTCATTACATTTAAGTGTCTTGAATAAATAAGATAATAATGAAATACATGTATCACGAAGTTTGGGAATAAAGTGATGGGTGGCACCAAAATTTTTTCAAACAGTTGCAATATGGGGAAAAGACTGGAAATAAATTATTTGCATTGATATGACCTGATGACAGTTTTAAAGAAAACAAAAAAAGGGTTTGCATAAATTGAAGAATTATTTCCTATGTTGTGATTGAGAGGTTATGTTGGGGGAGGGGGGCGATGACAACTTCCTCATTGGCTCAAGGGGGCGATTCGTTAAAAAAGATTAAGAACCACTGCTTTAAATCACCTGCTGTTGGAAATACAACTGAAATCAGCAAATTGGAAACCCCAGCCTCTAAACCAGTGGTTCTCAACCTGTGGGTCGAATGACCATTTCACGGGGGTCGCCAAACAACGCAATCTGCCATTTTTTCCCCCTTTTCCTTAGTTGTGCTACTCCCTTTTATTCTATTGGCTTTTGAAAGCCAATAGAATAGACTCTCTTGAATAGAGTCTAATTCTATTGGCTTTCAATAGCCAATAGGAATTGTCCAGGCTGTCTCTGCCCTGCTGAGCCCGCCAAAAGTCCCATTCTGCAAATGGTCCTGCACCAGTTGAGTAGTCCTCGACTTACGACCAGTTGGGTAGTCCTCAACTTATGACCGGTTAGGGGTTGCAGCATTAAAAAGGTTGAGAACCACTGCTCTAGACTCAGGCATTTATTTACCTTGGCTGCAAATGAAGAGCTTTTTGCTCTATCCATCTTCCTGCAATAGCTTTCCTGCTGGTTAGAAGCCCTGAAGAGGGCATAGGAGAGAGAAATGTGCTTGTGGGGAATTGTTTAAAACAGTGGTTCTCAACCTGTGGGTCGGGACCCCATTTGGGATCAAACAACCATTTCACGGGGGTCGCCAAACGCAGTCCGCCATTTTTCCCCCCTTTTCCTTAGCTGTGCTACTCCCTTTTATTCTATTGGCTTTTGAAAGCCAATAGAATAGACTCTCTTGAATAGAGTCTAATTCTATTGGCTTTCAAAAGCCACTAGGAATTGTCCAGGCTGTCTCTGCCCTGCTGAGCCCACCAAAAGTCCCATTCTGCAAACGGTGCTGCACCAGTTGAGTAGTCCTCGACTTACGACAGGTTGAGTAGTCCTCGACTTATGACCGGTTGGGGGTCGCGGCATTAAAAAGGTTGAGAACCACTGGTTTAAAATTCTGCAAGGTCTTACATTAGGTTGCAATTTTCAGCAGCATTGGTCTTAACCAGCCGGGACCAAATACAAGGAAAAACAGAAGGGAAAAAAAAAAAAATTGGAGGAAAACAGAGGACAACTCTCTCGAACACTTGCATCTTGGTTAGCTTCACCCAAGGCTGTAAGCCACGGTTTGCTGAGTTGTGTGTGTGTGTGTGTGTGTGTTTTTAAGAAGTCCCAATTGGCTGGACTCCCTTAAAAGTGACAAGCTGAGACTTTACGGCTTCCAAAAGCTACTAAAGACTTTCAAATATTGTTAATGAATTGACATTTTAATATTATATTCAAACACCGTGAAATGAAGGCTGATGGAATAATATTAGTTGCAAATTTGAATGAAAAATGGAAAGGGGAAAGGAAAGGAAAAAGAGAGAGAGAGAGAAAAGGAAAGGGAAAGAGAAAGAAAGAGAAAGAAAGAGAAGGGGAAAGTCTGGCGGGGGCGGCGGCGACGCCTGGCGGGTGCCCAACGCGCGTCCTCGCTTCTTGCCCCAGCCGGAGCCGCGGCCTCGACGCCAGTCAACTCCCCGGAAAAGCCGGGGCGGAGGCTCTTCCTTCCGTCAGCTGACCGGAGCCAGCACCCAGCGGGGCGAAGACTCCCAGCCCGGCCGCCGCATCCCTCTGCGCCTTCCTGTGCGCTTTTACGCAGGCACCGCGCTTTGCAAAGCAGGCGCTGCCCGGCCGGATCCTGCCGCGGGTGGAGGTGGCAACTGGACCCGGTGGAAAGCCGAGGAGCCCCTGCTCGGAGCCGCTGCCCGGGGGGGGGGGACCCCGGTCCGGAACGCCTGCCCGTCTGAATGGCCAGTTAGGCGGTGTTTTGCTTCCTTCTCCGCCTCGGGGCCTTGACGGTGAGTGACCTGGGCCCAGCTTCTTGCAGCGACCTTTGCAAAGGGGGGCTTTTAAGAGCCAGAGGTAAAAAAAAAAAAAGGCTTGCAAGGGGCTGCGCTCTGGGAGATGCGTTCAACCCTGCCAGATTTGCGCCCTTGCCTGGTTCTCTCTTCTTTTGAGTACAGCTAGTCCTCAACTTAACAACAGGATTGGTTTGTGGAATTGGCTGGCCCCCCAAGATAGGGTGAGGTTGGATTTCTCCAGTTAGACCAGGGGTGGAGAACCTTGGCTCTTTTAGGACTTGTGGACTTCCAACTCCCAGAATTCCTCAGCCAGCCATGCTGAAGGAAAAGGGAAAGGTTGGAAGTCCACAAGTCATAAAACGGCCACATTTGAAGACCCCTGTCCTCAACCGTTCAGACAAATGGCTGTCCATTCTCTTCTTCAAAGCCTCCAGTGATGGAGCACCCACAACTTCTGGAGGCAACCTTTGGAGCATGGCTTTAGGGCCCTTCCTGACACGTGAGCAGCTTTTATCTAAGCAGGAAAAAAATGGATTCTTATCGCTTTGAGAGAAATGGCTGTTTCACCCCACCCCACCCAGGCAAATACTGGCCTCACCCGGTTTGCCTGCATGACCGCTCAGAACTGCAGTACCCCAAATCATGAAAAAAATCACCAACTTTCCTGTAAGTAGGAAGAGGTACCTGTGGAAATGTTTTCAAGCCGTCATTCTGCTCATCTGACTTTCCAGTTTGCAATTCGAGCGAACTGGAGATTAGGCTCAAGAACAGAGCGTTACCAAATGGAATGAAATTCTTGGATCATCTCGTTAGATTATTGCAGTGCTTTAGCCAGACTGAACAGATCAATGTTTTTCAGACTTGGCAATTTTTAAGAGGGGTGGACTTTTAATTCCTAGATTTCCCCTGCCATCATGCTGCTGGGGAATTCTGGGAGTTGAAGTCCACGCCCTCTTAAAGTTGCCAAGTTTGAAAAACACTGTTGTGTAGAGAAAGGTGAAGACTTTAAAAGGGTGGTCAGTCCTAGACAAAACTGTAAATCTGCACGAAAACATTGCTAATACATCGAAATGCTGGGAAAGAGAAGAATACTCAACCTTGTTTTTAATAATGAGCACAAAATTTCTTATCCAGCTTTCCTCAAAAAATAGGATGGCATCTGTGTTTCCATCAGTAGTTACATTGAATGTTATTTTCCTTTTTTTTTTTGCAGTTAGCAAAATAGTTGAGTTGTTTATTACTAATTTGGTTACACATTTGAGTTTTTGATACCTTTTTAAATTTAGATTCATATTCCTATGTAAGTAGCTGCTCTTTCTGGATTTGTTTTTGTTGTTGTTGGAAATAGCATAGAAGGCTCATATTATTGGAGATTTTATCTTGAAGAAAAGTTACGATTTCAGGCCTTTGAAAATAATTTGGGGGAATATTTAGAATGAGAGGGGAAATCCTGAGTTAAAAACACTACAGTCTGTTTTAATTTTGCTCCAGGAATCATGTTTTACCAAATGAAAAGCTTTTTTTTTTTTTTTTTTTTAGGAAATTACAAAGTGTACTGTATATTAATAGGATCTCTAAAAGGCCTAGAGGCATTAATTCCTTTAATAGGCTTACTATAATGAACATGGAATATGAGTGCTTTGATAATGGCTAGTTATAGTGACAGTGAACAGGAAAACAATTAGTTTCTTGTTGCTATCCATACGTTACAACAGGTTTTGATCACAAAGGGCATTTAATGATTTTGATTATCAATACAGCTAATTCTAGTATCATCCTGATTAATTTCTTAGTTTCCATAAAGAATAATCCTAAAATAGGTGTTTTTCTAAGCTTTTTAAGTTGAATTATAACTAATGATTGCAGGAGAATTTAATGTTAAGAATTTCCCATTAAACAGAAACACCTCTTTTTAAAAAATCTTATTTACAAAATTGGGATATATTCAAAGCATATATTCTAGAACCATAGATATTTATGCTGAAAAAAAAGAAATAATAAAGACATGTTCCAGTATTTTGTATGGAGATTTAAAACTAACCACACTAATTTTAGATGGTGATGGAATGCTTCATTAAAAAGATACAGAGAGAGAGAGAGAGAGAGAGAGAGAGAGAGAGAGAGAGAGAGAGATGCCAATAAACTTGATAAATAAAATAAATAATTCTGTCAAATATATTAACACAAACTCCATTAAACTTTTAACTGTTGGGACTCTTGTAAGGCGTATGTTTGCTACAGTTAAAAAGAAACCTGTAAATTTTAATTTTATACATTTGGAAAAGACAGTTAAATAGCAGCTGCGGCTTTATGTCAGAAATTGTGTGGAGGAATCTTATAAAGCATATATGTAAGGCTAAGGGGAAAATGGAGCAATTATATTATGAACACTGTTAGTACTTTTTTTTAATGCACAGAAAAAATATATTGTCAGCTTGGTATGAAAACTGGAAATCTCCTAGGCGCCTGACTGAAGCAATTAAAACATCTGAATCTTATCTCTGGAATTCAGGCCAAAAGCAGTCCTACATTGTTATACATTGTCATTCCTGCCTGAGCAGGGGGTTGGACTAGATGACCTCCAAGGGTCCCATCCAACATCATCATCATTACTATTATTATTATTATTATTATTATTATTATTATTATTATTATTATTATTATTATCAGGGCTTTTTTTGTAATAGAACGCACCTTTTTTCGACAGATTTTCCAGAGTTGCTTTGATCTTTTAGATACACTAAAAATTGAAGGGTTTTTTTTTCAACTACAAAGGTAAACATTATAGGATAGGCAAGGTGAGTTGTATGACGTATGTGAGTCTGGCATCTTTTTTTTTTTACAAAAAGCACTGATTATTATTATTATTATTATTATTAATTATTATTATTATTATTATTATTATTATTATTATTATTATTATTATATACAGAGATAGAGTCTATTACTGAGCAGGTTTTTATTTTTATTTTTTATGCTCAAATACTGTATATAAATTAGATTGAACTGCAAACTGAATAACAGATTTTTGGGGAAGAAAATTCTCAGGTATAATACATAAAATCAATTTGGCATAACTGTAGCCAGTAACAAGAAATTAACAGATCTATAAAATCAGGGAAAGTTCGTGTGCTACATTTCCCATTGAATGTAAAAACCTTATGGATTTATTAGCATTTTTACCATCCAAAGTCATTAATGAGTTGTTTAATCTTATTAAAAATTCATTTTTCATTCTATGAGGCTTACATTACCAGATCAAAACCAGAGAAAAATCCAGAGAAAGTGTTACAAACCAATATTGTTGTTTAATGTGGATGCAAACTATGATCAATGACAGTTATTACGAAATGTATTGCTATCTGTAGTTTATTCAACTCATCTGAATATCAGAGAGATATCTGATTATATTTAATGATTTGCTGTTTTGGAAATAGCTGCACATAACTTAGATCGGTCGGGGAAGCACTTGTATAATTTTGGTGACTTCAGAAGCTTAGCAGATTAAACTATAGTTAGAACTTTCATGGCAAATTCTGTAACTTAAGTTAGATCGGAAGCATTCAAAAAGCAATATTTTTGAAAAAAAATGAGGAAGGGTTAAATTGGATAGTCTGGATCAGTTATTCAAGCTTGGCCATTTTAAGACATGTAAACTTCAACTCCCAGAATTCCTCAGAGGAGAATTCTTAAAACTGCCAAGTTTGAGAAATTGGTCTAGACCAGGGGTCTTCAAACTTGGCCCTTTTATGACTTGTGGACTTCAACTCCCAGAATTCCTCAGCCAGGCATGCTGGCTAAGGAATTCTGGGAGTTGAAGTCCACAAGTCATAAAAGGAAGACTCCTGGCTCTAGTGTGACTGTCCAGTTTTAACCTTGCTTTTTTTAAAAAAAAAAAAAAAAAAATCCCAGTGGGGAATTTTCCCAGTGGAGAATTCTGGGAGCTGTAGTCCACAAGTCTTAAAATTGCCAAGTTTGAAAAGCATTGTTCATGTTTTGTTTTTGTTTTTGATTTTGTTTTTGATTTTTTTTCTTTTCTTTCCATTCCTTTTTTTTTTAATTGAAGCTACAGGAGCAATGTCCAAAAAGCCTTTAAATATCCCTGTGGTAAATGGGCAGCCACAGAAGACAGAAGTGGAAAATGGACACCCCAATTTGATGCCACCCACTCTTAGCACCTCCAGCGTGGAGGAGATGGTCCAGCAAATGAAAGAACTCATAACGGAGAACAACGAGCTTAAAGGTGAACATTAAATATCAAACATGGCCAGCAGTTCCTTCTCAAATCTCTGTTCCACAAAGGACACTACCTCTGGGTCTTTTCACCCTGTAGTAAGAATTACTAACATCCACATAGGCTTAAGATACCCTGGACTTATATGAGTTTAGGTCCTCTGATTTTGGGGGGTATAGGCAAATAGGCAATTCATAAAGTTTTATTTAATTGTTTTCTATTTAATTCAATTGTATTTTATTTAATTCTAATTCTGTTTAATGTAATCCATCCAGTAGAAGGGATGTGTCCACAAGACTCGCAACAGTTAGGCGGGACTAGAGAGAAAATTGTTTCTTAGCAAATCAAGCAAAATATGAGAACAAAATAAGACTTCGTTTGTTATCTATGATGTTACCTGTGTTTTGCATATTTCTGATAATTCCAGGCCAAATTTTAGAATATGCACAACGGTTTTTGCATATCTGCATTTCGGAGTCGTTTTTTTCGTTATTTTATCCAGACAGCTCGCCTTCACTGCAGACAACTTGCAGCACCGTTTGCAGACTGGGACTTTTGGCAGGCTCAGTAGGGCAGAGACAGCCTGGACAATTCCTATTGGCTTTTGAAAGCCAATAGAATTAGACTCTATTCAAGAGAGTCTATTCTATTGGCTTTCAAAAGCCAATAGAATAAAAGGGAGTAGCACAGCTAAGAAAAAAGGGGGGGGGGAAATGGCGGACTGCGTTGTTTGGCGACCCCCGTGAAATGGTTGTTCGACCCCAAATGGGGTCGTGACCCACAGGTTGAGAACCACTGCCCCATACCATTCCAGACAAATGGCTGTCCAGTCTTTTCTTGAAAGCCTCCAGTGATGGAGCATCCACAACTTCTGGAGGCAAGCTGTTCAACTGGTTAATTGATTTCACTGTTAGGAAGTTTCTCCTTAATTATAGGTTGCTTCTCTCCTTGATTAGTTTCCATCCGTTGCTTCTTGTCTTGCCTTCTAGTGCAGACATGTCAAACTCGCGACGTCGCATGATGTCTCGGAGCTTTTTCTCTATTGCCGGCAATGGGGTGGGTGCAGTTTTGGGATGACCGTGGGCCAGCAGTTTGACACCCCTGTTTTAGTGTTTTGGAGAATAGGTTGACTCCCTCTTTGTGACATCCTTTCAGATGTGGGAACATCAGAGATTTCAGATATACTAGAGTCCAACTTCAATAACATTATTCCCCACCTGATTCTTCTTGAGAACTTTAGTTGATGAGCCACGGAGAACTTAAGGAACGATTTCTGGAGAAGTTTGGATGACAGACTCATGCTGATCTCATCTTGTAGGATCCATGCTTTCCTTCCTTTTCTCACCATATCAAACCCTGTCGGTAGATTGCAGCATTGATAGATTGGTTAATGCTCTCCTCAAAGTATTTCTTGAAATACTGGGTAGATGGTCAATGCCTTCCCCCATTTCCCCAAAGTATTTCCTTGAACCCACGCTCCATGTTTTAGGGAACGATTTATGCTGACCCCTAACTGGGTATTTCTTGGGGTCAACCAGAAGCCATGAGGCAGCGAAACCAGGCCATGAAGGACCGCTTCGAGGAGCTGTCCGCTTGGAAGGAGAAGTTGAAAGAAGAGCGGGAATTTTACGAATCGAAATTCAAAGATGCCCGGCAGTGTTTGGCAGCCAAGTGTCTGGAGAATGAAAGTCTCCACCAGAAACTGCAAAGCCTGGGAGAGAAAGGAGAAAGGGGCACGCAGGTAAGTGAAAAAACAAGATTTTGACTCGTCTGGGCCTGAGAAGGAAAAGGGAGGACTCCCCAAACTGAGGTAGCTAGAAGAACTGTTTGCAGGTAGTCCTCGACTTACGACCACAATTGAGCCCAAAGTTTATGTTGTTAAGCGAGAATTCGTTAAGGGAGTTTTGCCCCATTTTACGACAGTTGTGAAGTGACTCACTGTAGTTGTTAAGTTAGTCAGACAGTTGTTAAGTGAATCTGGCTTCCCCATTCCCCAAGGTCGCAAAAGGGATCGCATGAATCCGGGACGCTGTGACCATCATAAATATGAGTCAGTTGCCAAGCATCTGCATATAAATCGCATTGACTCTGGGGATGCTGCAACGGTCATAGGTACGAGCAGTTGCCAAGTGTCAGAATTTTGATCACATGATCATAGGGATGCTACAAAGATCGTAAGTGTGAAAAACGGTCGTAATGTCACATTTTTCAGTGCTGTTGTAACTTTGAACAGTCACTAAATGAATTGTTGTAAGTTGAGGACTATATTATTATCATTATCATCATCATCATCATCATCATTATTATTATTATTATTATTATTATTATTATTGGAAGGGACCTTGGAGGTCATTCAGTCCAACCCCCTGCTCAGGCAGGAAACCCTATACCAGTGGTGGCGAACCTATGGCACGGGTGCCAGAGGCGGCACTCAGAGCCCTCTCTGTGGGCATGCGCGCCATCGCCCCAGTCCTAGGCCTTCAGATGGGTTTTATAAAACTTGTTCGCTTTAGGCCTCCACCGCCATGCGCAAAAAAAAAAAAAGGGTTCAATCAATCAGTCAATTTCAACTTCTCGTGGGGGAAAAAAAGATCTTGCAAAGTTGGAATTGATTGATTGAACTTTTTAGTCCCACCCAGTCTGCTGTTACCACTGCAGCCATGCCCACCCAATGGGTCACTCCCACCCAATGGGCCACACCCACCCGGCACCTGACGATTCATAAGTGGGTTTTGTGTTGCAGTTTGGGCACTCGGTCTCTAAAAGGTTCACCATCACTGCTTTAGACCATTTCAGACAAATGGCTATCCAGTCTCTTCTTAAAAACTTCCAGTGTTGGAGCATTCACCACTTCTGGAGGCAGGTTGTTCCACTGGTTAATTGTTCTAACTGTCAGGAAATTTCTCCTTAGTTCCAAGTTGCTTCTCTCCTTGATTAGTTTCCATCCGTTGCTTCTTGTCCTGCCTTCAGGTGCTTTGGAGAATAGCTTGACTCCCTCTTCTTTGGGGCAGCCCCTGAGATACTGGAACACTGCTTTATGAAAGAATAGGTGTCACAGATGACAAAGATCCATTTGTCATAGGATCGCTAAAGACTCCGGCTAATTAAATTTAGTGAGATGTATTTGTACATACAGATAGTAGTTCTCAGCTTATGACGCTTAGCGACCCTTGGAAGTTACAACAGACCCCACAAGGTGGTATTTATGACCCAGTTCCAGAGTTTTGACAGTGGTGCACACACAAGCACACACACACACACACACACACACACACACAGCCCTGTGGTCACATGATTGCGCATTTCTGTTGCTAAGTGAGACAGTTGTTGAGTGAGTTTTGCCCATTTTACAACCTTTCTTGCCGCAGTTGTTTAGTGAATCACTGCAATTGTTAAGGTAAACAACACAGTTGTTAAGTGAATCCGGCTTCCCCGTGGACGTCGCTTGTCAGACAGTCGCAAAAGGAGATCACCTGACCATGAACCATTGTGTGAAAAACGGTCATAAGTCACTTTTTGCATCTTTGAATGGTCACTAAATGAACCGCTGTAAGTCGAGGACTAGCTGTGGTGGAATATCCCCATGGTGTGGAGTCCGCCACTCTGTAGCTTCTACTGGAAAGGTATTTTCCAAAAACTATTCAGGAACAAGCTCAACGTCAAGAATTCAGTTACGCATCGTGGCCTTCAGCATTCCTTTAACTACTTCAGCCAGTCCTTGACTTACAATAGCTCATTTAGCGACCAAGTTACAACGACACGAAAAAAAAGTGACGTGTCCCCGTTTTTCGCACAATCTTAGGCAGCATCGCCATGGTCACGTGATCTGTAGTTACGACGGTCGCAGTGTTCCGGGGTTGCGCGATCCCCTTTCGCATCCTTCTGACAAGCGAAGTCAATGGAGGAAGCCAGATTCACTTAATAACCGTCTTACTGACTTAACAACGGCTTGATTCACTTAAGGACGGTGGCAAGGAAGGTCATAAAATGGAGCACAACTCGCTTAACAACTGTCTCGCTGAGCGAGAGAGATTTTGGGCTCCATTGTGGTCGTAAATCGAGGATGGCTTCTACTGAGTGAGGCTTAGGACGGTTCTGTGTTTGGCCTCGCTGTCCGGCAACGTCTTGGCTGCACTTGAAGGGGACTCACCCTGGGTTTCTCCTCCTAGGACAGCCCCGTTCCCAGGAAGGAGGCAGCCCAAGAAGTCGAGCAACTGAGGGCCCAGGTGGCGAAGCTGCAGGCCGAAAAGGCGGATCTGGTGGCCATCATTTCCGAGCTGCAGCTAAAGCTCAATGCGACCATGGCCGAGGACTCCTTTGTGGAGATCAGGATGCATGTAAGTCACGTTTCATTCTCTCCATGAACCCTTCTGTCGCTGGGTGGGATTTCCTTCGTCTTGTGTACAGGCAGTCCTCGACTTACAACTGTTCATTTAGTGGCCGAAGTTACGACAGCACTGAAAAAAGTGACTTACGATTGTTTTTCACACTTAACGACGGTTGCAGCATCCCTTTGATCACGTGATCAAAATTCGGACGCTCGGCAACTGACTCATATTTATGACGGTTGCGGTTCCCAGGGTCACAAGATTCCCTTCTTGTGACCTCCGGACAAGCCAAATCAGTGGGGAAGCCAGATTCGCTTAACCGTCTGACTAACTTAACAATTGCGGTGATTTGCTTAACAACGGTGGCGAGAAAGGTTGTCAAACGGGGCAAAAACTTAACAAATGTCTCGCTTAGCAACATAAGAGCCAAGGTGGCGCAGCAGTTAGAGTGCAGTACTGCAGGCCACTTTAGCTGACTGTGTTCAGCAGGTCAGCGGTTCAAATCTCACCGGCTCAAGGTTGACTCAGCCTTCCATCCTTCCGGGGTAGGTAAAATGAGGACCCAGATTGTTGGGGGCAATGTAAAATATATATATACATTGCTTACTGGTGTACACCGCTTAGAGAGTGCTTGCACTTAAAGCGGTATATAAGTCTCATAAATAAATAAATAAATAAACATAAATTTTGGGGCTCTGTTGTGGTCGTAACGCGAGGACTGCCTGCAGACTCAGAGGTTGCAACCCTAGTTACTTAATCTCTGGAACGGATTTGTAAGTGGGTGAGTAGAGGCAAGGGAGAAAGAAGGAAGGCCTTAAAATTGCCGACCCCCAAGTGCTGGGTTTGGAGAGTGTTCGTTTTTGACAACCTGAGTGTGTTTATTCCGAGGTGAAAAGCCAGCTGATAGATGTGACAAAGCCGTCTGTCATTTTCTGCAGGAAGGAGCAGCAGAAGGAGCCCTGAAACAACCTCAGGAGGTGGATGTCAAAAGAATAAACGAGAGCGCGGCTCTGTACGTGTGAGTAGATTTTTTTTCGGGATTCTTTGAGCATCTGCGTCTGTTCTGCACTTTTTTCTTTCAGGTCAATCAACAGCTGCTTAGGACAGCTGCTGAAAAAGAGAATATTCTAGATCAGGGGTGGCGAACCTTTTAGACACTGAGTGCACAAAAAACGCCCCTTCCTCCCCGCCCCGCCGCGCCTCGCCCCCGCTCCGCCCCGCTCCTCCTCAAGGCCACCCACCGCCTCCACGGCCCACCGTAGTAGATCGTCCAGGCAGCCCAGCAGTGCCACGGCAGCCACATCCTCCGCCCATGCCCCCCAGTATCATCTGCGCGTGATGGGCCACGAGGGCAAAGTCTTGTCCCCGCTGCCCAGCTGCCATGTCCTTGGCTGTGCTGCTCTGCGCAGACCACGTTCAGGGGCGACTCTCCTCCAGGGGGGCTTCTGGTGAGAAGGGGGCCGTGGGGGGAGGCAGGGCTGGGGCAACAGCGCACGTGCCCACAGAGAGGGCTCTGAGTGCAGCCTCCGGCACACATTTTTATTTTATTTTATTTATTAAAATTTATAAACCGCCCCACTCCCGCAGGACTCCGGGCGGCTAATAATAAAAACACCATATAACATGACAAAACAAACAATACAATAACACTCATCCAGGGGTCGGATTTTATAAACCCTAGGCCTGCCGGAAAAGCCAGGTCTTAAGCAGCTTGCTGAAAACCAACAGGGTGGGAGCAGTCCTAATCTCCGGGGGGAGCTGGTTCCAAGACGTGGGCGCCATCACAGAGAAAGCCCTCCCCCGCGGCCCCGCCAAATGGCACTGCTTGGCCAACGGGACCTGAAGGAGGCCCAGCCTGTGGGATCTAGCCGGACGAAGGGAACTATGAGGTAGTAGGCGGTCTCGCAAGTAGCCTTAGGTTACATGCCATAGGTTCGCCAGCACTGTTCTAGATATAGAGGTAGTCCTGGACGTACGACCATAATGGAGCCCAAAATTTATGTTGCTAAGCGAGACTTTGGTAAAGTCGGCTTTGCCTCTCTTTTTTTGCAATTTTTCTTGCCACTGTTGTTAAGCAGATCACTGCAGTTGTTAAGTTAGTAGCGCATTAGTTAAAAGAAGTCGGCTTCCGCCTGGACTTTGCTTGTTAGAAAGTTGCAAAAGGAGATCACAGCATGGCCCCAGGACACTACAGCCGTCATAAATACAAACCAGTTCATTTACTGACTGTTTGAAGCTACAACAGCACTGAAAACAGTGACTTATCGTCCTTTTTCCACATTTACGACCGTGGCAGCATCCCTGCGGTCACGTGATCAAAATTCAGACACTTGGCAGCCGACTCACATTTATGACCATTGCAGTGTCCAGTGATCCCCTTTTGCGACCTTCTGACAAACCAAATCAGTGGGGAAACCAGATTCACTTAACAGCCATGTTACTAAATTAACAACTGCACTGGTTCACTTAACGAATGTCTCACTTAGCAACAAAAATTTGGGACTCAATTGTGGTTCGTAAGTCAAGGAGTACCTGTATTGCAGGCTGACTCTGCCAACTGCCAGCAGTTTGATCCTGATGGGGCTCCAGGTTGACTCAGCCTTCCATCCTTCTGAGGTCGGTAAAATGAGGACCCAGATTGTTGGGGGAGGATATGCTGACTCTGTAAACCACTTAGAGAGGGCTGTAGACCACTATAAACCGGTATATAAGTCTATAGTCTAGTCTAGTCTAGTCTATTGGTGCAGGAGTTAAGAGTGCAATATTGCAGGCTAAACTCTGCCCGCTGCCAGCAGTTTGATCCTCACCTGCTCAATGTTGACTCAGCCTTCTGTCCTTCCCAGGTCAGTAAAATGAGGACCCAGCTTGTTGGGGGACAAGATGATGACTCTGTAAACTGCTTAGAGAGGGCTGTAAAAGCACTGTGAAGCAGTATATAAGTGCTAGTGCTGTTGAAAAAAACATCTGGAAGAGGCTGAAGACAGACACCTCCCTATTTCCCATGAGTATAAGAAGTGGAGGGAGATATAGTTGCAAGCGACTTGCAAGATTCTGTTATTATTACTATTCGTTGTAAAAATGGTCTTAGCCTTCTGCTGGAGTTGATCTCTTGGTGTGGTATACCTGATGGGGTAGATTTAGATTGAAATCCGAATTCGGCTATGAAGCTGCTGGTTGAGCTCCATAACTGAGTCAGGATTTCAACCTACGTCAACCTACAGGAGTAGGCAACCTTGGCTCTTTTATGACTCCTGGACTTCAACTCCCAGAATTCCTCAGCCAGCCATGCTGAGGGGCAAGGGAGAGGTTTCCAAGCTGAGCCATGCTGGCTCAGGAATTCTGGGAGTTGAAGTCCACGAGTCATAAAGCGGCCTAGGCCTAGGCCAGAGGTAGGCAACCTTGGCTCTTTTATGACTGGTGGACTTCAACTCCCAGAATTCCTCAGCCAGCCATGCTAAGGGGCAAGGGAGAGGTTTCCATGCTAAGCTATATTGGCTCAGGAATTCTGGGAGTTGAAGTCCACGAGTCACAAAAGAGCCAAGGTTGCCTACCCCTGACCTAGATAGAATAAGGCAGTGTTCATGATTTCACCCCAATGTGTCTTTTCTATCTTGTTAAAGCCGGACTAAATCTATGGACGAAGCCAAGAAATACTTGGAAAGAGAAGAATTAACCGTCAGCCAGCTTCTGCATTCACTTAGAACCGAGACTCAGAAGAGGGAAACCCTGGAAAATAAGATGCAGGAACTGAAGGATAAGTGTCAACAGTGTGTATTCTTCTCATTGTTTCAAACATCATGGCTAGCTGGCTTCCAATTTTGTGCTTTCCCACAAAATTTCCCACATTCTCTTGCTTCTGTGTGCAATTCTGTAGTATCTCCATCTCAGCATTCTTAAACCACCACCCCCCAGGTTCTAGATCACTGTTTTATACCGGACCACCTTGCTTTCCACAGGCTGTTGAGTCTGAAAAAGAAAACAGATGAGAAAGGCACTCAAACGGAACAAGAAGCCAAGAAGAAAGAAGAGAGAAGTGAAAGTGTAAGTACTACTCCTTTACCAATAGAAGAAGATATTTGTAGCTCGGGGTTGAACTGTGGGGTCTTTGGTACTCCCTGGGCTTGGCGGTTTCCCTGCAGACATTTCGTTACCCACCTAGGTAACATCATCAGTGCTAAAAGGGAAAGGTGGGAGGTTTGCAAGGGGAAGAGGAAGAGATGATCTGTGGGGGCCTTGGTGCTCTCTTAGTTAGTTGTTTACTTGCAGGTGTTTCATTACCCAGCTAGGTAACATTATCAGTGTTAGAAGGGAGGAGGAGGAGGTCTGTGGCGCTCTCTGAGCTTAGTAGTTTTCTTGCAAACATTTCATTACCCAACTAGATGACCCTTTGAAGATGTTACCTAATTACCTTATCAAGAGGTTATCTGTTGGATAATAAAACAGTCTGCAAGAAATCAGCCAAGCTCAGAGAGCACCAAAGACTCCACTATTCGTTTATTCACACTCGGTACGCCAAACCCAATAGGAATTCTGTCATTTCGTTCCTCTGAAATTCAGAAAGTTACTTAAACGAACCTCTTTCCGTCGCTTGTGCCCAACCGCGCTTTCATATAAAGTCTTATGCATTGCGTAACTCAGAATGTTTCATTATGGCACGCTGAGTGATGCTGCTTGCTTTCTTCAGTAAGAGTCAGTAGGCCAGGGGTAGGCAACCTTGGCTCTTTCATGACTCGTGGACTTCAACTCCCAGAATTCCTGAGCCAGCCACGCTGAGGGGAAAGGGAGAGGTTTCCAAGCTGCCATGCTGGCTCAGGAATTCTGGGAGTTGAAGTCCACCAGTCATTCTTCAGTAAGAGTCAGTAGGCCAGGGGTAGGCAACCTTGGCTCTTTCATGACTCGTGGACTTCAACTCCCAGAATTCCTGAGCCAGCCATGCTGAGGGGAAAGGGAGAGGTTTCCAAGCTGAGCCATGCTGGCTCAGGAATTCTGGGAGTTGAAGTCCACCAGTCATAAAAGAGCCAAGGTGGCCTACCCCTAGCCTAGGAGGCTCACCGCTTAGAACAGGAGGACTTAAGACAGGGGTAGGCCACCTTGGCTCTTTTATGACTTGTGGACTTCAGCTCCCAGAATTCCTGAGCCAGCCACGCTGAGGGGAAAGGGAGAGGTTTCCAAGCTGAGCCATGATGGCTCAGGAATTCTGGGAGCTGAAGTCCACAAGTCATAAAGCGGCCTAGGCCTAGGCCAGAGGTAGGCAACCTTGGCTCTTTTATGACTCGTGGACTTCAACTCCCAGAATTCCTGAGCCAGCCACACTGAGGGGAAAGGGAGAGGTTGTGCCCATCACAAATGGGTTGTCGTTCTTAATTTCCTACCCCTGCTGCAAAATGGGAGTGTCTATAATCCAAAGAGAGATTTTAGATAAATCCATTTTTTAACCAATTCTAAATATTTTTAGGCCCATCATGTCCCCTCCCACGGACAACTGAAAAATAATGTGAATTTTTAACTTAGTTGCAAGAAACCCCTACTTAAACAGAGGCTCTCCCTCAAGTGACAAACAGTGGTGTGTTTTTGCAGGATCAGCGAGGAATACGTGCTGGTTTTGGAGGAGCAGTGCATGTGTAATTCCTGTAGTGTGCCTCAAGAGCACAAACAAGACTCTTTATTGTTGTTGTTGTTGTTATTCTGAGTGAGTGATTCATCTAGAATCGGGCTATCTGTTTGACTTCTTTATGCTGTTAGCAACGTTCTTTTTGCACCTTGTCATGTTTTCAGCAAGACACAATTGGTTTTCCAGTTGTTGAATTCTTTCTTTTAGGTGGGCAGTGAAGTGGAAACACTAAACCTGCAAGTATCTGCCCTCTTCAGAGAGCTGCAGGAGACCCACGCCAAGTTAAAAGAAGCAGACGTAATTCAGAAAAAGCTGCATGAAAGGTAAGCATAGTTGTTGTTGTTGTTAATTGCGAAGTCGTGTCCGACCCATCGCGACCCCATGGACAAAGCATTGGATACTGCCAAATCTCTTTTGAGTCCAACTCAACTCCTTCATTTAATTAATACCGCTTTACAATGCCTTGGTAAGGCCACACTTGGAATACTGCATCCAGTTTTGGTCACCATGATGTAAAAAAGATGCTGAGACTCTAGAAAGAATGCAGAGAAGAACAATAAAGATGATCAGGGGACTGGAGGCTAAAACATACCAGGAACGGTTGTTGGAATTGGGTATATCTAGTCTAATGAAAAGAAGGACAAGGGGTGACAGGATAGCAGGGTTCCAATATCTCAGGGGCTGCCCCAAAGAAGAGGGAGTCAAGCTATTCTCCAAAGCATTGAAGGCAGGACAAGAAGCAATGGATGGAAACTAATCAAGGAGAGACGCAACCTAGAATTAAAGAGAAATTTCCTGACAGTGAGAACAATTAACCAGTGGAACAACCTGCCTCCAGAAGCTGTGAATGCTCCAACAATGGAAGTTTTTAAGAAGAGACTAGACAGCCATTTGTCTGAAATGGTATAGGGATTCCTGTCTGAGCAGGGGTTTGGACTAGATGACCTCCAAGGTCCCTTCCAACTTCAGTAGTAGTAGTAGTAGTAATAGTAGTTTATGTATTACCATGTTTCTCCAAAAATAAGACCTAGTTTTGGGGCAAGGCCCACGCCTTAAAATCAAGTTAGGGGGGTTGGAGCTTACCATTACAGCCAGGCCTCCCATGGATTGACACTTGCCTCGCCAGCCCACTTCTTCTGTGGCCAAACGAGCAGCTTCCTTCTGCAGCTGAGAATGGAGCTCCTCATTTTACTGACCTTGGAAGGATGGGAGGCTGAGTCATCCTTCATCTGGTCAGGATCGAACTGCTGACAGTGAGCAGAATTAGCTGGATTAGCCTGCAATACTGCATTTTAACCACTTTACGATGGATGGGATGGATGAATGGAAGGAAAAGGAAGAAAGGAAGGGAGGGAGGGAGGAAAGAAGGATGGAAAGAAGGAAGGAAGGAAGGAAGGAAGGGGAAAAGGAAGAACAATAGCACTTAGACTTATATACTGCTTCACAGTGCTCTACAGCCCTCTCTAAGCGGTTTACAGAGGCAGCCTGTTGCCCCCAACAATCTGGGTCCTCATTTTACTGACTTCGGAAAGATGGAAGGCTGAGTTGATCTTGGGCTGGTCAGGATCGAACTGCCGGCAATGGAATGCAGAGTCAGCCTGCAATACTGCCTTCTAACCACTGTGCATCATGAATGGATGATGGATAGATGGAAGGGAGGGGAAAAGAACAATAGCAATACAAATAGCACTTAGACTTATATACCGCTTCGTAGTGCAGCCCTCTTTAAGCAGCTTACCAAGTCAGCACGTTGCCCCCAACAATCTGGGTCCTCATTTTACCAACCTCAGAAGGATGGAAGGCTGAGTCAACCTTCAGCCGGTCAGGATCGAACTCCTGGCAGTGAGCAGTGTCAGCCTGCAATCCTTTTCTTCTAACCGCTGTGCCACCAGAGCTTTTTATCTGAAAAGATGCTGGGGGTTCCTTCCGATTTTTAGCCGTGTTTCTTCCCTTACGATGTCTCCATCGCCCAGGTGTCAGATTCTTGAGAGGGAACACCCTGTCAGGGTTGGAGACCTGGATGAGAAGCAGCAGTTGTTATACACCATTAAGAAGCTGGAGCTGCAAGTGGAGAGCATGCAGTCGGAAATCAAGCTGGAGCAGGCTAAAACCAACGACGAGAAGTGAGTGTAGCCCCGGGAATAGAGAGTTGGGGACGGGATCTCCTCATGTAAAAGTGACAATAAACATCTATGGAGGTTCTCAGTCATCCAGGTCATGGTTGTCCCAAAGGTGCTTTTTCCAAAAGGCAAACTGGACTTTATTGGGGGGGGGTGGTTCTTCTTTGAATTGAAGATGCTTCTTGGATGGGAAGCACAACATTTTCAAGGAAAAATACCAAGAAAGTCCAGTTGTCTGGGGGGGGGGAAGCACCTTTGGGATAGTGATAGCAAACATTTTATTTCTTATTTCCTTATCTCTACATATACATATTTATTCTACGTATATATTCAAGATGGACCGTATTTAATATTTATTTGCTGTGGATATGTAGGGGTATGTTGTATATAGTATATTTAGGTGTGTGTCATGTATGTGTTTCACTTTGAGAGCGGGCAACTAAATTTCATTTTTGATATGTGCCGTTGTGCCCACAGTAAAAAAAAATGACAATAAAGGTTATCTATCTATCTATCTATCTATCTATCTATCTATCTTTATCTATCTATCTTGTCTGTCTGTCTATTTTATCTGTCTATCTATCTTATCTCTATCTACCTATCTTATCTGTCTGTCTATATCTTATCTATCTATCTTACCTATCTTATCTATCTATCTAATCTATCTATCATCTGTCTATCTTATCTATCTATCTTATCTATCGTCTATCTATCTAATCTATCATCTGTCTATCTATCTATCTTATCTATCTAATCTATCTTTATCTATCTTATCTGTCTGTCTATCTATCTTATCTATCCATCTTATCTAGCATCCATCTTATCCGTCTGTCTGTCTGTGTATATCTTATCTATCTATCTATCTATATCTATCTATCTTGTCTGTCTATTTTATCTGTCTATCTATCTTATCTCTATCTACCTATCTTATCTGTCTGTCTATATTTTATCTATCTATCTTACCTATCTTATCTATCTAATCTATCTATCATCTGTCTGTCTATCTTATCTATCTATCTTATCTATCTAATCTATCATCTGTCTATCTATCTAATCTATCTTTATCTATCTTATCTATCTATCTATATCTATCTTATCCATCTGTCTGTCTATCTATATCTTATCTATCTATCTTATTTATCTATCTAATCTATCATCTGTCTATCTATCTATCTTATCTATCTATATGTATGTATGTATCTATCTATCTTATCTGTCAATCTATGTATGTATCTATGTATCTATCTAATCTATCTGTCTGTCTTAACTATTTATCTATGTATCTATCTTATCTGTCTATCTATCTGTCTATCTGTCTGTCTATCTATCTATCTATCTATCTATCTATCTATCTATCTATCTATCTATCTATCTATCTATCTATCTATCGATTGCCAAGCAGAGTTTCCAGATGGAAAGCTGGTTAAAGCTGCACTGCAGATTTGGCTTTAACAGGCTGAATTTTATAGCTTAAAAGCTCTTTTATTGGCATCTGGTGGCTTCTTCATGTATTATTTCTTTGCGGTTATATTCTGAATATATATCCATCTTCTGGGGGCACGCGCAAGTGCAAATCCATCCAGAATCTTGTGTGATTTGCAGATACCGTTTTCTTTGCTGCTCTTATTGTGTTCGTTCTATTAAGGGGGAAAGTGAGAGAGAGCCCCTGTGGGTGCTGAACTTTCTGTCTTAGTTTTGTTTTCACTGTCTTCCTCTAGAGCCAAGTTCAGCAGCCTCCAGGATGCATACAGCAAGCTTGTAAAGGAACTGACCGAGGCTTTGCAAACCGTTGAAGAATTAAAAGGCAAAGAGGTGAGCTTTGCTCTAGAGCAGAACTCTGGCATAAAGTGATGGAGGGGGACGTGTGGGAGAAGTGTTGGCTTCCCTCTTGCCTCCCAGGCAGATGTTAGAAACATGATGACTTTGGCCAGCTGTGAAATTCCTGTGAATATTAACCCTGCTGAGAACAGCAGGATTGGGGTAAGGATGGGAAGCCATCTTGGATAGCTACTCCCTAAACCAGTGGTGGCGAAGTTGGAATTGATTGACTGAACTTTTTAGTCCCACCCAGTCTGCCGTTACCACTGCAGCCACGCCCACCCAGTGGGCCACACCCAGCCAATGGGCCACACCCACCCGGCACCCGACGATGCATAAGTGAGTTTTGTGATGAAGTTTGGGCACTCAGTCTCTAAAAGGTTCGCCATCACTGCCCTAAACCTACACTGGATCTCCTTTCTTCTCTTTCTGTCTGCTCTGCCTCCACCTTCTCCTCCTTCTATCTCAGTGGTTCTCAACCTGTGGGTCGGGACCCCATTTGGGGTCGGACGACCATTTCACGGGGGTCTCCAAACAACGCAGTCCGCCATTTTTTTCCCCCTTTTCCTTAGCTGTGCTATTCCCTTTTATTCTCTTGGCTTTTGAAAGCCAATAGAATAGACTCTCTTGAATAGAGTCTAATTCAGTAGTTCTCAACCTTTCTAATGCCGCGACCCCATAATACAGTTCCCCATGTTGTGGTGAGCCCCAACCACTTATACATCACCAGGTGCCAGGGGCGTGGCCAAAGAAAAGGGGAAAAAATGGCGGACAGCCTTTTTTGGCGACCCCCGTGAAATGGTTGAGAATCACTGGTCTAATTCTATTGGCTTTCCAAAGCCAATAGGAATTGTCCAGGCTGTCTCTGCCCTGCTGAGCCCGCCAAAAGCCCCATTCTGCAAACGGTGCTGCACCAGTTGAGTAGTCCTCGACTTACGACCGGTTGAGTAATCCTCAACTTACGACCGGTTGGGGGTCGCGGCATTAAAAAGGTTGAGAACCACTGTTCTATCTCCTTCTTCTCTGCTCCTCTTGTCTTCTATCTCCTCCTCCTCCTCTTATCCCTTCTCCTCTGCCTCCTCCCTCCTCCACTTTCTCCTCCTCCTATCTCCTCTTTCTGTCTACTTGTCTGCCCCCTCCTTCCTCCACCTTCTCCTCCTCCTCCTTCTATCTCCTCCTTCTCTCCTCCCCCTCCATCTTCTATCTCCTCCAGCTCTTTTGTCTGTCTCCTCCTCTGCCTCCTCCTTTCTCCTCCTCCACCACCTCCTCCTTCTCCATTCGCCCCTCCTCCTCCACCACCACCTCCCATATGGGATGTTTTTCAACTTCCAAGCCTACATTACATTTCCTGGTAGTCTCTCATCCAAGCAGGAACCAGGTCCAATCCTGCCTAGCCTTTTTTAAAAAGATTGGCTCGGTGACTAGGCCCCTGGAATTCAGCAGGCGGTATCCCTGATTCAACCCACTGCAGGCGCAAAGGATCGACCAGGCATCCTTAGACGAATTAATTCACAAACTGGATCTTGCCGAAAAGGCACTGGCTGCCAAGCAGTTGCAGATCGACAAAATGAAGCAGACTCTTACGAAGCAAGAAGAAGAGCTTGAGACTGTGGCTGTCCTGCGAGCTCAGGTATGGCTGAACAGGGTTTAACTTCCCAGGTCTAAGTCTGTAGCTTGAGATTCCCTGGTGGTCTCCCATCCTGATCATGACTGCATGTGGCCCTGCTTAGGTGCCAAGTCCAGTCAGGTCCTGTCACCTGAAAATGTTGGCGAGATCTTCTTCACTTGATCTCAACTCCTGATGACTTTATGGATGCGTCCACCTAGCTTTTGGGGGGTGTTTTTTTTCTTCCAATTTCCCAGACAGGGTTAGATTTCCTAGTGGTCTTCCATCCATTCCTCACCAGGGATGGACTTATTTAGCTTCCAAACTAGGTCAACCAGATGCTGCCAACATGGTTAAATGAGTAAGGGGTGAAGATTAGATTTCAGAATGAAAATATTGGGGCTGTTTGAAAGTGAGAGCGTTGTTTTCCTGAGCAGATGGAGGTCTACTACTCTGATTTCCACGCGGAAAGAGCCGCGCGGGAGAAGATCCATGAGGAAAAAGAGCAATTAGCCACACAGTTGGCGTACTTCTTGTCTGAGAAAGAAGAACGCGGAGATCTTGGCAGGTGAGGAACCAAAGAAGGACTTCTTTCTATGTCTAGCAAAGAAAGACTCAAAGAAAACCCTTCTCCATCAAGGTTCTTGTCACCTTGTTCAGTTAATTTGACTACCATAATGCACTCTACTTGTGGCTGCCCTTGAAGACAGTTTAGAAACTTCAGCAGGTCCAGAAGGCAGTGACATGGGCAATTTTGGGTCCACCACATGATATCCTTGTTAATGCCACTGCTTTGTATGGTATGTTTTCTCCCAGTTGGCTTCTGGGTTCAATTCAAAGTGTTGGTCACCTCCCATAAACTCCTTCCTGGCAGAGGGTTGGGTTAGTTCCTTGACTGCTTATCTCCCAAGTGTTTCTGACCATTCTAGAAGAGCAGTATGTTCCAGATCCCTTCTATGAAATGGTGTCATCTAACAGGATCCAAGAACACGTTCTCTGTCACTGTGCTTGACCCACAGAAGGCCATTCCCCCCTGAGGTCCAGATGACCTTCGATAAAGCCTTAAAACTGGCGGTCTCCAAACGTGGCAACTTTAAGACTCATGGATTTCAACTGGCTGTGGAATTCTGGGAATTGAAGTCCACAAGTCTTAAAAGTTGCTAAGTTTGGAGATCGCTGTCTTAAAAGTTGCCCCCAAATGTTGGCCATAGTATTCAGTGAACTTTGCATTGGTTTGGTTCCTAGATCATAGGGCTCCTTTGAGTCAGATTTTAGCAGCTTGACATTATATTGCTTGCCACTGTTGTTATTTGATCTATTGAGTTCTTGTTCTAAATTGTCATTAGTCCACCCAGCATCAGGCCCCGAGATCAGCAACCAAGGAACTCTTTTTAATAAATAATAATAATAAAAAAAATCCTCTCGTGGAAATGGAGATTGAAAATGCACTCTCCTTCCCCTCAGGTGTTCCTTGGCAGAAATGCAAACCCGTCATGGAACCAGGCTGCCATCAGATCAAGGTAATTCACCTGGTTTTGCTCAGAAAGGTGGGACAAAATTTGGATACCTGTTAGAATGGAGTCTTTGTTTAGACCAGGGGTAGGCAACCTTGGCTCTTTTATGACTTGTGGACTTCAACTCCCAGAATTCCTGAGCCAGCATGGCTCAGCTTGGAAACCTCTCCCTTTCCCCTCAGCATGGCTGGCTCAGGAATTCTGGGAGTTGAAGTCCACGAGTCATAAAACAGCCGAGGTTGCCTACCCCTGGTTTAGATCATAAATACAGACCGGGTTCTGTTTTGCAAGCAGAAGCAGTTTGACCATAGAAAAGAACATTTGTAGCTCAGGGTTGAACTGCGGGGTCCATGGAGGCCTCTGAGCTGGGTGGTTTAGCCGTCTGAAAGGGGGTGATAGAACTGGAGAAAAAATAAAGGAAAATTGAATTGAATTGAATACAAGTAGTTCTCGACTTACTACAGTTTATTTAGTGGCCGTTTGACGTTACAATGGCACTGAAAAAAGTAACTTATGACCACTGGTGGAATTCAAATACCTGAACAACCGGTTCTCTTATTTGATGCAGGCCTGGACCGCCGAGGCTTAGAACGGACTTCCGGAAGTGGCATTCATGCACTTCCAGCAGGCCATTCTAGGCCTGGAGCCTCCAGGCCTCCAAGGCCTAGAACAGATTTCCGGAAGTGGCATCCACGCACTTCCAGTGGGCCATTCAGCCGAACCGGTGTGAACCGGCTGAATCCCACCACTATTTATGACAGTTTTTCACACTTATGACCACTGCAGCATCCCCAGAGTCACGTGATTAAAATTCAGACGCTTAACAACTGACTCATATTCATGGATCCCAGAATCATGTGATCCCCTTTTGCGATCTGACAAGCAAAATCAATGGGGGAAGCCAGATTCACTTAACAACTGTATTGCTAACTGAACAACTGCAGTGATTTACTTAAAAACTGGCAAGAAAGGTCGTAACGTGGGGCAAAACTCACTTAATAAACATCTCACTTAGCGACAGAAATTTTGGGCTCAATTGTGGTCGTAAGTCGAGGACTACCTGAATTTGATTCTGTCTGGATCTAAAACCTTGAAATTTTGATAATCTTAATTTTGATGGCTCATTTGACTAGATCAGCTGTCTTAGTTTAGAGCTATTCCCATTCGTTTACAATTTGTTCTATATGTGTATACATCTATTATTCAATGTGTATTTCATATATATATATATATATCTTTTTTAAAAAAAAAATAAATAAATCTGTACCTGCAGGAGCAGAAGACCAGAATGACCAACAGCAGTCAAGGGATATTCCTATACATTCTTGTCCAAAATGTGGAATAATTCTTCCAGATATAGATACACTTCAGATTCATGTTATGGACTGCATCACCTAAACAATGGTTTCAGAAATGCTTGGAAACAAAACCTGCACTTTGTAAGAAAATAGTTCCATTTTCATCTTTGTTAGAAAGCATTTGGAACCTTAGTGGCTTCTTCCTAAGGATTCCATAGGGAGGCTTAGGGTTTAGTTATGCATTCAAAATTTACCTTACAAAAACTGTAATATACATCATTATGATCACTTTCCAACTAGCTGAAGATAAATGTGTCCATTGCATAATCAGTAGGAACCGACACATTTTCAAGACAAGAAGGTAGGGATTATTTAATGCAGCCATTCAGTAGGAGTATCTGCTCACTTTGAAGTCTTACAGGCAGCTTCGAAGTTGCATATTTCTATTTATTCCATATTTTAAAAGGGTGCAGAACATTTTGAGGTTGAACCCTTTCTGTAGCTGTTTTGATCAGAATGATTCGTTTTATAGTCAGACCGCATCCACTAAACCAGGGGTAGGCAACCTCGGCACTTTTATGATTCATGGACTTCAACTCCCAGAATTCCTGAGTCAGCATAGCTGACTCAGGAATTCTGGGAGTTGAAGTCCATGAGTCATAAAAGAGCCAAGGTTGCCTACCCCTGCACTAAACTCATGGTGAAATGAGAGCAGGACTTTAAAGGATGTAAACTTCTCACCTTCAGTTTTTTTGTGTGTGTGTGTGTGTGTGTGTGGCTCTCTGTGTGGTACACAGATGGATGAAAGAGTCAGGTACGTTTAATCACAAGAAATATATGATGAAGGCCATTAACAAACAGGTAAAACAAAAGTGTTTATCGCAAATTGAGAAAAGATTCACACTTGGATGTATATAATTGTCGAAAACTATTGTTGTTAACGTGGCATAGCTGTAAATGAAAAAAAAAAGCAAGAGCAATAATCCATGCTGATTTTTTTATTTGTGCTTTTGATTCCTGTTTAGTGATTATTTCAACATGCATCAAACAAAACAAATTATTTGACTGATTAAATAGTGCGGGAGTCACTAGTGGAATAATTTAATACATGTTTTAAATGTTTATGTTCAAGCTTCATTTGTACCACTTATTGTTCCACAAGTACCTTACTAATGTAAAGTTTACAACAAAGCTAGGCAACCATTGAAGAAAAATATATGTGTATGTCGCTGACCTTAGTTTTTACAGTGGGTGAGCGGCCTTGTTTTAGCTAAATGAAGATTGAGTTGATTAACTGCCCAATAATACTTTGTTGCCTTCTTTTGATCCCTATGTTTGAAATTTCTTTTTAAAGAATCATCTGGATGTTATACTTGAAAAAAATAAAAGACTTAATGGCACAAGTGATAAAACGAATTGTATTAATGAAAGAAAAAAATAAAGCCATATTCTGAAATATTTTGTTTTAAAGTTTACTGAAGAACCTAGGAGACTTGAATAACTTCTTAAAACAGTATTTTCAAGTGTTTTCTTTGGGTGCAATGGACAAGATCTTTTAAACACTTAAGAAATTTCTTAATCTGATCTCTTGTCTCAGAAAGCTCCTGTTTATTTATCTATCATGCTGGCCCAATAACCATATCAGATAGGTGGAAAGGATTAAAACTTTTATTTGCAAATAAAAGGTTGTCCGGAAGCAACTTACAAAATGGGCACACCCTGGCTTGGAGAGAACTCCTTTTTACATAATTTTGAACAGCATGCATCACTACGAACCAACCATAAAAGTAGACGTTATTGGAAACAACAACATTGTGCCTACAATTCTTCAATAGTCATAGTAACATAGTTCAAGATTCAACTGAACTTGAATCTAAATCAGGGGTCTTCAAACTTGGCCCTTTTATGACTTGTGGACTTCAACTCCCAGAATTCCTCAGCCAGTGTGCTGAAGCGTTTATTTTATTATTATTCCTAAACAACTTGGTAGCGGGAAAATTATATCTTAATGAGCAAGCATTCCTAAATGTAAATGGTTTGGTTTTACCTGTTTTTATCATCTCTACTTAGCAAGTAGTCAACCAGCAGTCAAGACCCTCCTGATGATTGCAGAGCACCATTGCTATTGCTATGTGCTATACGGATTTAAACGGTTCACAACAAGGGTCTTCAAACTTGGCAACTTTAAGACTTGTGAACCTCAACTCCCAGAATTCCTCAGCCAGCCCTGAAGTCCACAAGTCTTAAAGTTGCCAAGTTTGAAGACCCCTGGTTTAAAATATTTGGATAATAGAAAAATGGATTAAAATGGACTGTTGAAAGAAAAATCTTTATCAGGGTCCAGTCCAAGCCGGGAATAAACAAAATAGAGACTGCTTAGGAAAGAAGGTTCAGTTTATTTAGTTGCCAGAAACTCCAGTGACACAGCATGTGTCTCTGGAGTGGCTGACAAAATGGAGCTGGGAGTGGTGGGATTTTATACCTTCTTGGGCTTTTGTGTTTGGAGTTGTTCCTGTTCCTGTTCCTGTGGCATTGTATTTGAGCAGGGGTCTTCAAACTTGGCCCATTTATGACTTGTGGACTTCAACTCCCAGAATTCCTCAGCCAAGTAAGCTGGCTGAGGAATTCTGGGAGTTGAAGTCCACAAGTTATAAAAGGACCAAGTTTGAAGACCCCTGTATTTGAGGCTCATCTTGTTCCTATGCAATGAACTTTGACTTGGGGTTCAGTGTGTCCTTTTGGTATTCTAATGGTGGTGGGTTAATCCTCCTAAAGGTCATGTTCCTTGGAGTCTTTGTTTTTCTAATCCCATCAGCTCAAACCTTCTCTGGGGCTGTGGCTGAAGGCATTTTGCTTATGGATAGGTGGCCCAGTCTTTCCGAATAGGATTATCAAATCTGCATTTCTACAGAGTTGGCCTGCTTAGTTTCTGTTTGGGGCTATTAAGAAAAACTGGGCCTGCTTTTCTGCCTTTAAAATCCTTTGGGAAATATAATATTCTGCCTTTTTAATATTCCCCAAAATATTTCCTTCTCGGGGTGGGGGGCTAACTTCCCACAAGACTGTCTCATCAGATTCAGACTCATACAAGAAAAAAAAGCTATCAGTAGGAAGAATAATAGGAAGCCCCCAGTCTGCCAGAGAATTTGCAGCCACATCGCAAGGAAAGATGGGTTTCCTCCAGAAATGCAAACCAACGACGCTCCGGAAAAAATGGCAACAACAATCCAATGAAGCAGGTTGGGCTGAGAGAAGGGAACTTCCTCAAATATATCCTGTGAGCTTCCATAGTTTTGATCCAGATATGTTCAATGCCTTCATTGTTATATTATCTTGGTTTGGTTCTTAATTGCAAAGAAATTTTATTTATTAGATTTGTTTGCCGCCCATCTTGCTTTGAGGCTTCATTGGGCAGCTTACATTGAAAGTCAATAAAACTTTAAAATACTAAACGCCTATTTATATACAGCTTTGCCATCTTTATTCTGTCTTAACTCAGCCTGGAGATATGCAGAATTAATTGCTTCTTCAGCAACAACCTGTCTTCTTATAATAGTGCAGACTTAACTGTGTCACCAATAAAACTATTTTCCTTAATTTAAGAAGCGTGACTTTTGCACAAAAGTTCATATACATACACTAAGAATACTGTAAATGCATTTTAAATCTTTATTGGAGAAGGATGCATCAGCTACATTCACACAACATGCTTAACCTGCATCTTGCATTAACCCAATTAACTCGGGTGAACTGAGCTACTGGCAGGGGTGGGGAAATAGAGTTACCAGAGGTCAAGCATGTGTGGATGCAATTTCCAAGCCTTCACGTGTCTGAACCAAGCCTCTGCCCTGCTAGTTGCACTTGGGAACTACAAAATTAATGAATCCTGCTTTAAAACCTTTACATTTTAGCAACTGCGCATGCGGGTTACAAGAGCGACTCTAATTTTCTTATCTCTTTGGCCCAATGGGCCTCAGCGAGCCAATCGCAGCCCGTTACGCATGCGTAGTTGTGAATGTCGGCGCCGCTTCGGGCAAGCTCTTTTTACTCCTCCAATGGAGTTCCATAGAGATACTATCAAACAAGTCTTTGGTTCAGTGCCCGGAACTGCGTGCAGACGCGTCGGGGGCGGGTCGGAATTGAAACTTTTGGCGGGTTTTCAGCGGTCTTTCTTCTTGGACGGAAGGAAAAGCTGCAATTCAGGTAAGAAAGTTGCAATTTCGCCAAAACAGCGAGAAACAGGCTGCAAAAAAGGAATTTCAGCCAATGCATTGGTCAAAGAGAGGTTGGAGGGCTCGGATGGGGGTTCCCAGTCCAAAGGAGGGGAGACAAAGCAAAGACCATCCGGGCAAATTCTAGGCAGCTGATCCGGCTTGACCCGGAAAGTGGAGTTGCAATTGTAAAGTATGCTTTTTGCAAACTTCCCTTAGAAGAGGGTGCATTTTCAGGCTTTGCCCTGGCCTAAACAAACTGGGAAGAGAGCAAAACTCAATTGAATTTCTGTCCCTGGAGTGGGAGTAAGTGCTCTGATTGTGCAAAGAATGGAAAAAATGGTAAATATTTTTTTTAAAATCCCATTATTGGGATTTATTTTCAAGCAAGGTTGGCGTTTTGGAACCATAGGGTGGATCAAGATGTTATTTTGACTTATTTATACAATGTTTCTCAACCTCAGCAACATTAAGATGGGGGGGGGACTTCAACTCCCAGAATTCCCCAACCAGCACAACTGGCTGGGGAATTATGGGAGTTGAAGTCCCCTCCCCAATCTTAAGGTTACTGAGGTTGAGAACTATTGAGTTAGTATGTTGTGTGAACCCAACTATTTGGGCTTGATTAAAGGAACCACATGAGCTTCTTTGAGATGATGGCTGGTTTTAAACAATGACCAGGATCATGAGATAAAATGAAAATTGAGAATAAATTCCAGCTTGCCCCCATGTTGCCAAGGAATTTTGGAAGAGTTTATTTCTTGTGCAACCAGGATTTCTGCATTTTCCCTTCACTCTTCTCATTCTCTCTGCATTTATGTATGCATCAAGAATTTATTTATTAAATTTATAAGCCACCTATCTCACTATCTGAAGTGACTCTGGACAGCTTACAGTAGTATATAAAAGCATAAATATAAAAACAATGTGTGTCTTGTCAATTGCATGAGGTTTCTGTGCCCCATTTGGCCTGGCCTGAAATCCTTCAAGATCATATCATCAAAAAACTCAGTAGCAATTTTAAGTGCCGTGAGTTATTTATGTATTGCACTTTAAAGTAAAGATTTCATTTTAAAAATAAAATGATCCCAGCTGTTTGGACTTAAACTCCTCCTCCAGCATCTCTCCCACTTCAATACATCCAGACAAGAGTTTTATACATGGTTATATGTAAGTAAAAAGTTATTTTTATTAGTGTTTCCTCTTCTATGTTCCCAGAAAATAAGAATTCTTCTAAGTCTTTCCTGGTCTTTCTGAAAGAATGGATGGTGAGTACAGAAATTTGGATGGTGGTTTTGAAATTTATTATATCCCATTCAGCATTGTACAGGATTCTGCAGGATGAGGAGGGTCTAAGTTATCCATTGTACCTGAAATTGCTCATAATTTATCAATTTACAAGAGTACAGGTTTTAGCTACATACTTTTTATTACCCTTGAAAAGTCTCCTGAGTTTCGATGTGAGCACTGAGGACGTTACCTAGTTTGGTAATGAAACGTCTGCAAGAAAACCATCAAGCTCAGAAAGCACTAAGGACTTCAGATGTGTGTTTTCCTGAAGCCATAGGCCTACTGTGAAAACCGAGGAAATAATGCTGCTCATATTTATTTATTCATTCATATTGTCCCAGCCCTGTCTATCTTGAAGTGTAGCTTTCAGCCAAGTATATATAGATGCATGCATACAGATAGTCCTCCACTTACTACCGCAATTGAGCACAAAATTTCTGTTGCTAAATGAGACACTTATTAGGTGAGTTTTGTCCTTTCTTGCCACAGTTGTTAAGTAAATCACTGCGGTTTTCAAGTTAGTAACATGGTTGTTAAGTGAATCCGGCTTCCCCCGCTGACTTTGCTTGTCAGAAGGTCGCAAAAGGGGATCACGTGACCCCAGGACACTGCAACCGTCATAAATATGAATCAAGTTGCCAAGAGTTTTGATCACGTGAACCCAGGGATGCTGCAATGGTCGTAAGTGTGAAAAACGATCATGTCCCTTTTTTCAGTGCCGTTGTAACTTCAAACAGTCACTAAACAAAACGGTTGTAAGTCTAGGATTGCCTGTAGCGATTTACAATTGACTTATATGTGTGGATATATTTACTACAGGAAGTTAATCGTTCCAGGACAGCTTTAAATTGAATTGTCACTGATCAGTTGATAAACTGAGCAAATTGGCACTGCTTTTGAACAGGAAAACAGAAAACTTTCTTTTCTCTCAGGGATGTAATTAAATATTGAACTATATTTGTATTTCACTTGGTTTTAATAGTTGGAGGCGGAAGTGTTTGTAAGGCTGCTGTCAAGCTAGGAAGATTGCTTGCGTTAGGACTGCCATGCTACTTCTAGCTTGCCTACAGTTGTGAGGGGGGAGAGAAAGGTTTGGAATGCCCAGGTGGATTCTATCCAGATGGGAACCAAGGTCAACAAAGAGATGTTGTGGTGGAGAGAGACGTTCTTCTTATAACAACTGCCTGAGGGTTAACTGACAATGTGACCTGAACTGTCAGACAGAAGAGGGAAAGTTTTACTCTCTTAATTATCTTTTTCCTGCCATATTGCCAAAGCTAGCTTTCTAGTGCCGGTATGCTGTACCCAATAAAGTTTTGCATTAGAGATCCAAATGGCTCTGTGGTGTATTCGCTTTGTTAGGATCCTTAGCTGGAACCTTGACAGCTGCTCTGTTGGATCATTGCTAACTTGGCCATTACCCATTTTTTCTTCCAGGAGATGATGACTTAGACCTGTTAGCGTCTCTCTTAGAGGAGAATGAAGCCCAAGAAAATTCTGCAGAGAAGAAAAGAGCAGCTGAGCATCGAGATGAGTATGATTTACTCTTTGAGGCGGAAGACGATGAGTCCTACACCTCCTACAACGAGGAGCTGGAAGTAGAAGAGGAGGGGTCCACTGGTAACCAGGAAAACGTGGCTGAGATCTTTTGGGACGTGACTGACCTGTTGGAGGAAGAGAAGAAAGAGGAAAACATTCAGAAGATGTCCCGTCCTGTAGCTCCTGATCAAGTGATAGAACCTTCCAAGGAAGATCTTCAAGGTCTCTTGAAACCTTCCTACGTTTCTGATGGTTAAAAGCAGGGGGGTCTTCAAACTTGGCCCTTTTATGACTTGTGGACTTCAACTCCCAGAATTCCTCAGCCAGCATGCCTGGCTGAGGAATTCTGGGAGTTGAAGTCCACAAGTCATAAAAGGGCCAAGTTTGAAGACCCCTATTTAAAAGTTATCTATCCTGAGGCTATTGCCACGAAAATCTCTAATGATTTAAAGAAATGGAATTAAAACTGCAGCCAGATATTCCTAGCTCTGGCTAACAGCAACATATAAAGCAGCGCCTTAAATATTGGTTCATCAGGGCTTTTTTTCCCCCCTAATTTTTAATTAACCTAAGTTTAGGCTTCCAATGATATTTGTCTTTCTTATTCTTGTTGCCTCATAGATGAGTTGAGAAAATTGCAAGAGCAGATGAAAAAATTGCAGGAGCAGTTACAAAGCACAGCGATTGGAAAGCCAGCCGATTCTAATCTCTGCAAGAAAACATCTGGTAATTGCGTTTTTTCCTTTTTGACCACCCTGCTCTCCAGCATGTTATCTTGCATTTCATCCTATGGATATTTTTTGTAAGCCCGGGCAATTTGCTAAAATTATACAAATCCCAATGTTTTAATCAAATCTTTAAAATGCGACAATATTTTAACATCATGTAAACATTTCAAATACAGTACAAGTAGCCAGATAATCACGTTTTGGTTGCTTGGCAACCGGCCTGCCTTTACGGCTGTTTGCAGCATCCCACAGTCACACAGCTGCAATTTGTGACTTTTTTTTCCCTGCCAGAAACTGATGTTTACTTCCGGTTTCTGTGACTCCCCCCCCCCCGCAGAAACTGACGTTTACTTCCGGTTTCTGGCCAAACGTGCCCATTGCAGAAAATGGATTTGTTTCACAGCCCCAGTGTTCTGTCATGCTTGCTTAATGATCGCTGCAAGAAAGAACATAAAATCTGGTCACACAGTGACTAGCTAAACAACCGAGAAGACTTTTCACCATAATTCCGATCTCAATTATGGTCCTAGGTCGAGGACTATCTATACATTTGTGTAAAAAAAAAACAAAAAAAACCTTGAGATGATTAGGATCAGAATGAGGAAACAACTAGAGGAGAAGTCATTTTGGCAATAGTCACACTCAGCGCAGAATAGTAAATATTGTTTCTTTTAATCCAGCGTAAAAGGAGTTGTATACAGTAGTGGCCAAAATTGTGGAAACCTTTTGGGGAAAGTGTACAGTAGAAAGGCCACCTTTGGTTAAGTTTCCACCCATTTTTCTTCTAGTTTCTTTATAACTGTAGCCTTGCTCATTTAATAATACTATTTTACATCGCTTGCTGGGTGACCAGTCAACTTTTTGCACCATTACTTTAATTTTACTACGTTTTACAAGCTCACTAAATGAAAGAACACAAAAAAAACCCAGCAAACTTGATAGCGATCATATAACACACTGACAAATGTCCTGTCAGCTTCAATACATGACATCATTAACTGAATCCTACTGTGATTTGATTAGCTCATTGCCAAAACAAGATGACACCTGATTGGCTCTCTAAACACTCCTGCTCATTGGCTACAATCAGATGAAGGAAAGCTACCTGAGATCCACCTAAGCAAGTTGTGCTTCCTTTTTCTGATTATTTGGCTATAACTTTTCATAGAATACAGTACAGATAATTGAACAAACTATGTTACATTACATTCTTGATTAAATTATCTTTCCATTGATATATAATTTTATGGTACTACTCCCCCCAAAAAAAGTAGTGTTATTAGCCATCAAACCTCAAAAATACACTTTTCCCAAAAGGTTTCCACAATTTTGGCCACTACGGTAATACATGAGAGAGAAAGATGGCTTAGGTATTATTCACTGATTCATCAGCCACTCGAATTAATTTGTTTGGATTGACGGTGCAATTTCCAGGATTTGATAATTGTGCTTAAATTTTGCATTTTTTTAAGTCTCCTGTTTCTAGTCTTTGCCAGTTTTTGTGATCTTGTGTCGTATTGAAGCAAAACAAAAGGGTAACACCAATATACAACTAAATTTCATTTTTGATGTGTGCCATTGTGCCCACAGTAAACAAAATGACAATAAAGGTTATCTAATCAAATCTGAAACACAGCTGAGCTCAAAGTATCAAAGAGAGATATACACTAAGCATAAATATTTACCCAAGGGTTTTTTTTTTCTATAAAGTGGTACCTTGGTACTCAACTGCTTTGAAAATCATCAAATTTGGTCCTCAGTGCATTTTGTCCCTGAACATGTAGTCCTCGACTTACCACAGTTCATTTAGTGACAGTTCAAAGTTACAACTGCATTGAAGAAAAAGGGACTTACAACCGTTTTTCACACTTAGAACCATTGCAGCATCCCCATGGTCGCGTGATCAAAATTCAGAGGCTTGGCAACTGGCATGTACTTATGACAGTTGCATCATCCCGGGGTCACGTGATCTCCTTTTGCGATCTTCTGACAGGCAAAGTCAATGGGGAAGCCAGATTCACTTAATAACCCAATTGCAATGATTCCCTTAACGACTGTGGCAAGAAAGGTCATAAAATGGGGCAAAACTCACTTAACAAATGTCTCACTTAACAACATAAGTGTTGGACTCAGTTATGGTCGTAAGTCAAGGACTACTTGTCCTCATCGTTTGTTTGGTACTCAACACACCCGCTGAAACTTGTCGGTGTCGGCTGCCTTGTGGACTCACTACATTATTCCTTATGGGAGAAATTTGTTTTGTATTCCTTGTTTTTGGTACCAAAAGTCATCACAACTCCCAGAACCGATTAGCAGTGAGTACTGAGGTACCACTGTAAATGCATTGAGGCTGTTTCTGATACGTTCTAGCTGAAAACATACGTCTTTGATACATTCTTTGATTTCTTGATCAGGTAAATCAACCGCTGCTGTCATTAAGGAAAGGACTCCTTCAAAGGTTCAAAAATGCCCATCTTTTTCAGCTAAGGGGAACAGTCCACCTTTACCGCTGCCAAAAAGCGAGTCCCAGAAAGCCAAATCTATGATTGCAGGTATATTTTAGCCATTCCTTCCACTTGATTTTTGGCAGAGTGCGAAGAACCGTTGCCGAAATTGGGTATGTCTAGTTTAATGAAGAGAAGGACGAGGGGGGACATGATAGCAGTCTTCCAATATCTCAGGGGCTGCCCCAAAAAAGAGAGAGTCAAGCTATTCTCCAAAGCACCGGATGGCAAGACAAGAAGCGACAGATGGAAACTAATCAAGAAGAGAAGCAACCTAGAACTAAGGAGAAACTTCCTGACAGAACAATTAATTGGTGGAACCGCTTGCCTTCAGAAATTGTGGGTGCTTCATCCGTGGAGGGTTTCAAGAAGAGACTGGATATCCACTTGTTTGAAATGGTATAGGGTCTCCTGCTTGACGGGGCTGGACTAGAAGACCTCCAAGATCCCTTCCAGCTCTATTCTGATTGAAATAGAAGTATCATAGATTATCCTAAAATGATGTATTGTGTTGACTATGGTAGTGGAAGCAGCAGAGAATGGTCTACAATCCAAAATCCAAGCCCACCAAATATCGTGACTGCCCAGTAACATCAATAATTGTAGTCCAGCTAAAATAACAGAGACAGTATTGTACGTTCAGAAGATTAAATTAGAATTTCATCTGGTATAAAGCAGGAGTAGGCCACCTTGACTCCTTTATGACTCGTGGACTTCAACTCCCAGAATTCCTGCGCCAGCCATGCTGAGGAAAAATGGAGAGGTTTCCAAGCTGAGCCATGCTGGCTCAGGAATTCTGGGAGTTGAAGTCCACGAGTCATAAAAGAGCCAAGGTTGCCTACCCCTGGTATAGAGTTTCCTGCCTGAGCAGGGGGTTGGACTAGAAGACCTCCAAGGTCCCTTCTGCCTCTGTTATTTTGCTATAAAGCCTGCTTCTTTCATATCTTTCAAATGGTGAAGAGATGTTTCTTAAGGCAATGGCTTCACAGCTTGGGAATTTTGCACTGATATGTTGTTGTTAATTGCGAAGTCGTGTCCGACCCATCGCAACCCCATGGACAATGTTCCTCCAGGTCTTCCTGTCCTCTACCATCTTCTGGAGTCCATTTAAGTTCTCACCTACTGCTTCAGTGACTCCATCCAGCCATCTCATTCTCTGTCGTCCCTGATATAGTTAAATATAGTTAAATGCACTGATATAGTTAAATGCAAATAGGGCTTGTGCAGATTTGCATAATTCTACTTCTGGAATTTAAGATGTCATAAATGAGACGTTGGAGAAGGACACTATTGATGGCACAGTTTTTTCAGCGTGCTCTCAGTTGCTGAAAAGAGCAAAATAAATCAGAATGACGTATCCATGTGGAAAAAGTTATTTATTTATCTGTGTTTTGGGGTTGTTGGCACCTTTTTTAAAAAAAATTATTATTTTCGGGGGGGGGGGGAATATACCTGCAGGCAGAATTGACGGTGGCTGATTTGCAATTTTATTCCCCGGGGAAAAATTAGCCACTTATTGTTAAACACAGACGCTTCTATTATTAAGGCTTTCCCTTTATGTTGTTTTTTTTCAGTTTTCTTCTGGGATAATGGTGTATTCTTTGTCTTCTGCTCCTTATAGTGAATAAGAACCACACTTCAAAAGCTACGTCTAGTCTGTTCTCTCAACCACTTAAATCAATGGTTGGAAACAGACCCTCTATGGATTCCAATAAGAAAATTCCAGTAACAAAAAATTCTGAGGGCAAAACTCAAGATGTTTCCCTGGAAATCTACTCTGGGCTGAAATTAAGGTGAGCAAGCTATCTGGAATAACCTAATTAGCTTTTTAAAAATGGATCACAAGGGGAATTATATACAGACCTTGCTAAAGAACAATTCTACCCTCAACGCCAAGGGCGTAATTTTATTCTGGATGTATTACATGTAGTCCTCGATTTATGGCCACAATTAAGCCCAAAAGTTCTGTTGCTAAGCAAGACATTTGTTGAGTGAATTCTGGCCCATTTTAAGACCTTTCTTGCCATAGTTGTTAAGTGAATCACTGCAGTTGTTAAGTTAGTAACCTGGTTGTTAAGTGAATCTCGCTTCCCCGTTGATTTTGCTGGTCAGAAGGTCACAAAAGCGGATCACGTGACCTGGGACACTGCAACTGTCATAAATACGAGTCAGTTGCCAAAGGTCTGAATTTTGATTCTGCAACTGTCCTAAGTGTGAAAAACAGCCCTGTCACTTTTTTCAGTGTCGTTGTGGCTTGGAAGTACCTTAAAACCTTGCTAAGATTCTTCAAAGCACATTTTCAGTCTTAAGGAGTTGTCTGTGCTTTTGAAAAAAAAACAGAAGGTGCTTTTGAATTTGATAGACAAAGACTGTAGGCTATGTTCTTGACTATATAGATGATGAGACTGCAAGGCGATCCAACCGGTCAGTCCTAAAGGAGATCAACCCCGACTGCTCTTTAGAAGGCCAGATCCTGAAGTTGAAACTCAAATACTTTGGCCACTTAATGAGAAGGAAGGACTCACTGGAGAAGGGCCTAATGCTGGGACAGATTGAGGGCAAGAGAAGAAGGGGACGACAGAGAAGGAGGTGGCTGGATGGAGTCACTGAAGCAATAGGCATGATTTTAAATGAACTCTAGATGATGGTAGAGGACAGGAAGGCCTGAAGGAACATTGTCCATGGGGTCGCGATGGGTCAGATACGACTTCGCAACTAACAACAACAAGATGATGAGACTCTAGAACAGGCATGTCAAACTCGCGACTTTTTCCCCATTGCAGACAATGCGGTGGATGCGGTTTTGGTGTGACGCATCTGGCCCGCGGGCTGGCAGTTTGACATGCCTGCTCTAGAAAGAGTGCAGAGCAGAACAACAAAATGATCAGGGGACTGGAAGCTAAAACGTATGAAGAACGGTTGCTGGAATTGGGTATGTCTAGACCAGTGGTTCTCAACCTTTTTAATGCTGCAACCCCCCAATCGGTCGTAAGTCGAGGACTACTCAACCGGTCCTAAGTCGAGGACTACTCAACTGGTGCAGCACCGTTTGCAGAATGGGACTTTTGGCAGGCTCAGCAGGGCAGAGACAGCCTGGACAATTCCTATTGGCTTTTGAAAGCCAATAGAATTAGACTCTATTCAAGAGAGTCTATTCTATTGGCTTTCAAAAGCCAATAGAATAAAAGGGAGTAGCACAGCTAAGGAAAAGGGGGAAAAAATGGCGGACTGCGTTGTTTGGCGACCCCCGTGAAATGGTCGTTCGACCCCAAATGGGGTCCCGACCCACAGGTTGAGAACCACTGGTCTAGACTCTAGTTCAATGAAAAAAAGGACCAGGGGCGACATCATAGCTATGTTCCAGTATCTGAGGGGTTGCCACAAAGAAGAGGGAGTCAAGCTAGTCTCCAAAGCATCTGTAGGCAGGACAAGAAGCAATGGATGGAAACTAACCAAAGAGAAAAGCAACCTAGAAGTAAGGAAAAATTTCCTGACAGTGAGAACAATTAACCGGTGGAACAACCTGCTTCCAGAAGCGGTGAATGCTCCAACACTGGAAGTTTTTAAGAAGAGACTGGACAGCCATTTGTCCGAAATGGTATAGGGTTTCCTGCCTGAGCAGGGGGCTGGACTAGAAGACCTCCAAGGTCCCTTCCAACTTTTATTATTATTATTATCTAGTATCAGCATTTTTGATAAATGTTTGAAACACCTTTTTTATTATTTCTTGGTTGGAAATGTCACACGGCCTCCTGGTTGTGTCGAGTGATGGACGGTTAAGGCAGGGGTCCCCAACTCCTGGTCCGTGGACCGGCAGCGGGCCACAACATGCCCGAAACCAGGCCGCGCAAACAAGCAAAGCTTCATCTGTGGGGTGCAGGGATCATGAAACCAGGCCTTCTCTGGTCCGTAGAAAAACCTCTTTCCACAGAACCAGCCCCTGGTGCCCAAAAGGTTGGGGACCTCTGGGTTAAGGGGTTCCGCCTCTGATGGGGGATTTCTGATTTCCTCGCAGAAAACCCCGCGTCTCTTCGGCTGAGATGGAAAGAAAAATGAGAGGGCGGCAGCTGATTAGACTCTCTCTGCTGCAAGACAAACTCCGCTCGGCCAATCTTGAAGAAATGGACTGGGTGACCTTTGGCATCATAATAAAGAAAAAGATTCCTCAGAGTTCCAGCAACGTAAGTGCTTGTATGTTTGCCCGGATCTCGTTGGCCTTTCGAAGGGAGCTGGCGGGAGATCAAAGCAACACATTCCTATAAATTTCTCACCTTTCAGATTTTACTTCGACTGTAATGGAGGTGCTGTAAAAGGCACTGTAAACAGGAGTGTTCTTTGAAAAAAGCATTTGGGCAAAAAAAAAAATTTTTTTTTTTAAATGATCTTTCTGTTTTCCCCTGGCCTGCTTTCAATCTTGCGTTATGCTTGGAGAAGTTGCCAGAATGAAAGATATCGGCCTTCAGTTTTGCTTCAAAGAGACTGGGCAATTCTTCATTAGTTTGGAAATCCTGGCAGCGCCTGTCCTACGGCCACAGTTGAGCCAAGTGGCTAAGTGAGACGTTGGTGAAGTGAGCTTTGTTCCATTTTTGCAACCTTTTCCTGCCCCCGGTTGTTAAGTGAATCACTGCAGTTGTGAAGTTAGTCAACCCGGGTTGTTGAGTGAGTCTGACTTCCTCCACTGACTTTGCTTGTCGGAAGGTCGCAAAAGGGATCACGTGACCCCCCCCCCGGGGGGGGACACTGAAAACCGTCATAAATAGGAGTCAATTGCTGAGCGTCTGAATTTTGATCATGTGACCATGGGGATAATGCAACGGTTGTAAGTGTGAAAAACAGTGCTAAGTCCCTTTTTTCAGCACTGTTGTAACTTTGAATGGTCACTAAATGAACTGTCGTAAGTCGAGGACTGCCTGTACAGTCTCATGTATAGTCTTCTATCCATATATAGGGGGTGAAATGTCCAGGGTTTAGCAATTACCCAAAGGAAAATATTAGTCAGTATCTATAACTTAGCAATAGCACTTAGACTTATATACCGCTTCGTAGGGCTTTTACAGCCCTCTCTAAGCGGTTCATAGAGTCAACATATTGACCTCCAACAATCTGAGTCCTCATTTTACCAACCTCAGAAGGATGGGAGGCTGACTCAACCTGGAGCCAGTCAGGATCAAATTCCTAACAGTGGGCAGAGTCAGACCGCAATGCTGCCTTTTAACTACTGCATAGCACGGATGGATGGATGGAAGGAAGGAAGGAAGGAAGGAAGGAAGGAAGGAAGGAAGGAAGGAAGGAAGGAAGGAGAAAAGAAAGAACAATAGCAATAGCACTTAGACTTATATACCGCTTCATAGTGCTTTGAAGCCCTCTCTCTGCGCTTTACAGAGTCAGCCTCTTGCCCCCAACAATCTGAGTCCTCACTTTACCCAGCTCGGAAGGATGGAAGGCTGAGTCAACCTTGAGTCAGTCAGGATCGAACTTCTGGTGGTGGGCAGTGAGTTAGCCTGCAATCCTGCATTCTCACCACCGCCGAAAGAAAAGGAATAGCAATAGCACTTAGATTTATATACCACTCTCTGAGCAGTTTACAAAATCATCATATTGCCCCCAACAATCTGGGTCCTCATTTCACCGACCTTGGAAGGATGGAAAGCTGAGTCAACCTTGAGCCGGTCAGGATCGAACTCCTGGCGGTGGGCAGTGAGTTAGCCTGCAATCCTGCATTCTCACCACCGCCGAAAGGAAAGGAATAGCAATAGCATTTAGACTTATATACTACTTCACAGTGCTTCACAGCCCTCTCTGAGGGGTTTATAGAGTCAGCCTATTTGCCCCCAACAGTCTAGGTCCTCATTTCACCGACCTGGGAAGGATGGAAGGCTGAGTCAACCTTGAGCCAGTTAGGATCGAACTCCTGGCAGTGGGCATTAAGTTAGCCTGCCATGCTGCATTCTCGCCACCAATTAACCACTTAAACCAATTATTGCATATCAATGCAATACTTCTTCTCACCGTCTGCCTCTCTTCCAGGGTAAAACATTCAGCATCTGGCACCTGAATGACCTGCGGGACTTCAGCAGGTCTGTCTCTCTCTTCCTGTTTGGGGACGTTCACAAAGAACACTGGAAGACGGATAAAGGCATGGCTGTAGGCCTCCTCAACGCTAATCAGATGAAACCCAAGGAAGGATCAGAAGAGGTATGGATAAGGATGGGGCAATAATGTTGCCTATGTAAAACCAAGAAAGACTGTATAAAACAGGGGTAGGCAATCTTGGCCCTTTTATGACTCGTGGACTTCAACTCCCAGAACTCCTGAGCCAGCATCGGGCAACGATGGCCCTTTCATGGCTTGTGGACTTCAACTCCCAGAATTCCTGAGCCTGCATGGGGGAAACTTCGGCCCCTTCATGGTTTATGGACTTCAACTCCCAGAATTCCTGAGCCAGCATGGGGGAACTATGGCCCCTTCATGGCCTGTGGACTTCAACTCCCAGAATTCCTCAGCCTGCATGGGGGGAACTATGGCCCCTTCATGGTTTATGGACTTCAATTCCCAGAATTCCTGAGCCAGCATGGCTGCCTCAGGAATTCTGGGAGTTGAAGTCCACAAGTCATAAAAAAGCCAAGGTTGCCTACCCCTGCCCTAGTATAAAACAACTCCCACTGTAATCTTCTACTTTTCGATTTAGAGTAAATCCGGTGCCATTTAGCTCTACATAAAGGACAGAAGGCTGCAGTCTCAAAGGATAGGGTGGCATTTTTAGCATCATCTGAAAAAATTTGTTTGGCTTCCTGGGAGCTGAAAACTGCCGTCTTTCTTCTCAGGTGTGTCTGTCTGTCGATCACCCACAAAAGATCCTGATTTTAGGGGAAGCCATGGACTTGGGAACTTGTAAAGTGAAGAAAAAAAACGGAGAGCCTTGTACTCAGATGGTTAATCAGGTATGTGTGTATCAGCCGGTTAAAAAGTGTCTTTGGCCTTTAGGTTTTCATACAGGTAGTTATTACCTATAAATCACAATTGAGGGTAATGAAAACACTGGGAAGCAAAAGTTCCCCACAACAGGTGGCCAAGAACTGAGTTCTCTCTGAGCTACAAATTTCATTTATAAAAATAATACATTTCTGTTGTTGTAAATCGAGGACTATCTGTAAAGCAGGACATAAATAAATAAATACTAAATAAATACATTTCCTCTGCCCACCTCAAATCTTGTGTTCATCCTCTACAGATGGTCCTCAACCTATGACCACAACTGAGCCCAAAATTTATGTCTCTTAAGTGAGACATTTGTTAAGTGAGTTTTGCTCCCATTTTACGACCTTTCTTGCCATAGTTGTTAAGTGAATCACTGCAGTTGTTAAGTGAGAATCTGACTTTCCCAACTAACTTTGTTAGTCAGAAGGTCACAAAAGGGAATTGCAGGACCCCGGGTTCGCTGCAACAGTCGTAAGTGTGAAAAACAGCCTGTTTTTCAGCGCCGTTGTAACTTTGAATAGTCGCTAAATGAACTGTTGTAAGTCAACTGGCTGTAAATAAATAAATAAAATAAACATAAAATATAAATGAATACTAAATACGTACAGTAGTGGCCAAAATTGTGGAAACCTTTTGGGAAAAGTGTATTTTTGAGGTTGGATGGCTAATAACACCACTTTTGTTTTGGAGTAGTACCATAAAATTATATATCAATGGAAAGATAATTTAATCGAGAATGTAATGCAACAACGTTGGTTCAATTATCTGTACTGTGTTCTATAAAAAGTTATAGCCAAATAACCAGAAAAAGGAAGCACAACTTGCTTAGGTTGATCTCAGGTAGCTTTCCTTCATCTGATTGTGGCCAATGAGCATGAGTGTTTAGAGAGCCAATCAGGTGTCATCTTGTTTTGGCAATGAGCCAATCAGATCACAGGAGGATTCAGTTATTGATGTCATGTATTGAAGCTGAGAGGAGGACATTTGTCAGTGTGTTATGTGATGGCTATCAAGTTGGTTGTGTTTGTGTGTGTGCGTGTGTGTTCTTTCATTTAGTGAGCTTGCAAAACTTAATAAAATTAAAGTAATGATGCAAAGAGTTGACTGGTTGCCCAGAAAGCAATGTAAAATAGTATTATTAAGTGAACAAGGCTACCGTTATAAAGAAATTAGAAGAAAAATGGGTGGAAACTTAACCAAAGGTGGCATTTCTACTGTACACTTTTCCCCAAAAGGTTTCCACCATTTTGGCCACTACTGTACATTTCCTCTGCCCACTTCAAGACTTGTTGTTCATCCTCTGTCGGGAATACCTGCAACTGCAGCTTATCCACTCCCCCCTTTGGTCAGTGGGTCAGTTTTCAGGACCTCCTTTGTGTTTCAGAGCGAGTGCGAGTATTGTCAGTATCATATACAAACCGAGTATCGGAAACTGAGCTCTAAGCGAGCAGACCTGCAGTCCACTTTCTCCACCACCCGGGCACCGAAGAAGACAGCAAAGAGGAACCTCAGCTTGAAAGGGAGGCTTTGTCAAGACGGCTTTTACTACGGCGGCGTTTCCTCCGCAGCTTACGCTGCTTCTGTGTAAGGAAATGCTTTTAGGTCAGACATGTCAAACACAAGGCCCGGGGGCCAGATGCAGCCCGCAAAGTGGTTTCATGTGGCCCGCGAAGCCATCCTGGAAACAGTGAGGGAACGGCCCCCGCTGCCTTGGCCCTGGCCCAGGCCGGACAGGAGCCAATGTACAATTTTGTGGTGGCCATCTAGGCTGAAACTCATTCAGTCTTAGCTCCACAAGGCCGTGTGGAAACAGCGAGGAACCAGCCCCTGCCGCGTCGGCCCTGCTCCCTGGGTGCATGCTGAGGAGGTGTCACCCTTTGTGAGGAATGAAGACATGCACCATCGCCTGCAAGTGGCCAGCAAATGGCCCTCGCCTACTTCACATATCCGGCTTGATGGGCTCCGGCGGAGGGTTTCGGCAGGCAGTGAGGCTCCTCCAGTGGACCATGCCTTGGCACTTGCCCCGGTCCCACCCCCTTCTGCCAGGACCCTCAGATTTGTCCCATTCCTGCCCAGGCCCCCATAGGTCCCCTTGACGCGAACGATGTAGAGCTGGCCATGCCCACCCAGTAGGCCACACCCACTCCATCCACGCCCACCCAGTAGGCTGCACCCACCCTGGCCACACCCATCCTGCCCCCTGAGGGCAACCGCAATGCTGATGCGGCCCTCAATGAAATTGAGTTTGACACCCCTGTGGTAGCTGGTCTGGGCCCCGGGGTTGCTTATCCAGATCTTGGTTTAATTAGAGTTGGAGGGGACGTCTTCTAGTCCAGACCTCTGCTCAGGCAGGAGACCCTATACCGGGAGTGTCAAACTGCCGGCCCACGGGCCGGATCCATCATGATAAAATCACACCCACCCCATTGCCAGCAATGGAACAAAACTCACGATATGTCATGACACATCACGCGACATTGTGACTTTGACACCCCTGCCCTATACCATTCCAGACGAGTGGCTGTCTCATCTCTTCTTAAAAACCTCCAGTGATGAAGCACCTACAACTCCTGAAGGCAGGCGGTTCCACTGGTTAATTGTCCTCACTGTGAGGAAATTTCTCCTTAATTCCATATTGCTTCTCTCCTTGGTTAGTTTCCATCCGTTGTGTCTTGTTCTGCCTTCCGGTGCTTTGGAAAATAAATGGACCTCCTCCTCTTTGTGTCACCCTCTCAAATGCTGGAATACTGCTATGCCACCCCCTAGGGCAGGGGTAGGCAACCTTGGGTCTTTTATGACTCGTGGACTTCAACTCCCAGAATTCCTCAGCCAGCATGGCTCAGCTTGGAAACCTCTCCCTTTCCCCTCAGCATGGCTGGCTCAGGCATTCTGGGAGATGAAGTCCACGAGTCATAAAAGAGCCAAGGTTGCCTACCCCTGCCCTAGTCCTTCTTTTCATTAAAGTAGACGTGAAAAGAAGGACTAAGGGTGACAGGATAGCAGTGTTGCAATATCTAAAGCAGCGGCCCCCAACCTTTCGGGCACCAGGGACCGATTCCGTCGAGAGAGGTTTTTTCGTGGATTGGAGGGGAAGTTGTTTTGCATTCTGCGGACAAGACTTTGCTTGTTTGCGCAGCCTGGTTTCTGGCAAGCCATGGCCTGATGCCAGTCCATAAAGAAGAGCCACGGCAGTGCAGTGGTTAGAATGCAGTACTGCAGGCTACTTCTGCTGACTGCCGGTTTTCAGCAGTTCGACTCTCACCAGGCTCCAGGTTGACTCAGCCTTCCTTCCGAGGTCAATAAAATGAGGATCCAGATTATTGGGAGCAAGATGCTGACTCTGTAAACCGCTTAGAGAGGGCTGTAAAGCACTACGAAGCGGTATATAAGTCTAAATGCTATTGCTATTAGATTAGCTGGATGGAAATTAATCAGAGAGAGAACCCATCTAGAACTTTTCCCTCCAGAATTAATTGTAATGATTTAGACATACAAAAAGACTTAGTATGGCTTTGATTTCCAGCCCTTAAGTTGTGTTCTTGTGTATCCTCTTCAGGGCTGCTGCTGCTGTTCCCAAAAAGAAAATCCAAACGACTTTGACAAATTTGGTGGTAAAAGGAGTGGATGCAATCCTGCAGGAAACCCAAGGAAAACTGGGTAACCCTTTTCTGTTTTCTGAAGCTTGCTGTGTTGGAGAGTCCTATTCTTTCAGCCTGGTTCTTTGTTGTTTTTTTGTAGGAGTTTTTATTGGGGGGATTTTCTCCATACATTCAGTAATAATTTTTCAACCAACGTGCTATCTGAGTTTACATTCGCCAATGCATATTTAATTCCTAATCCTTTATTCTTTTCTCTAGCCATCGATAAAATAAGTCCCAAATCTGATAATATTCCGTTTCTTCATTTTCTTTCAGTCTTATAGTCAGTCTATCCATCTCTGCGCATTCTAGTATTTTTTTAATTGTCTCTTCATCCGATGGTATTCCTTCCTTTTTCCACTATTGCCCAAATATAATTCTTGCCGCTGGTTCTTTGGCGTACAAGTATTCCTGGGGAATACGTCACTTTTTTTGGGGGGGGGTAGTACCATAAAATTATATATCAATGGAAAGATAATTTAATCAAGAATGTAATGCAACAAAGTTGGTTCAATTACTTGTATTCTATGAAAAATTATAGCCAAATAACCAGAAAAAGAAAGCACAACTTGCTCAGGTTGATATCACGTAGCTTTCCTTCATCTGATTGTAGCCAATGAGCGTGAGTGTTTAGAGAGTGTTCAGGTGTCATCTTGTTTTGGCAGTGAGCCAATCAGATCACAGTAGGATCCAGTGATTGATGTCCCGTATTGAAGCTGAGAGGACATTTGTCAGTATGTTATGTGATCGCTATCAAGTTGGTTGTGGTTTTTGTGTGTGTGTGTTCTTTCATTTAGTGAGCTTGTAAAAGGTAATAAAATTAAAGTAATGGTGCAAAGAGTTGACTGGTCACCCAGAAAGCCATGTAAAATAGTATTTATTAAGTGAACAAGGCTACAGTTATAAAGAAATTAGAAGAAAAAGTGGCGGAAACTTAACCAAAGGTGGCATTTCTACGGTACACTTTTCCCAAAAGGTTTCCACAATTTTGGCACTACTGTAAGTAGAGGTAGCCCTTGACTTACAACAGTTCATTTAGTGACCGTTCAAAGTTACAACAGCACTGAAAGTGACTTATGACCATTTTTCATACTTAGCGACCGTTGTAGAATTCCCATGATCAAAATTAAGGCATTTGGCAATGGATTCATATTTATGACGGTCACAGTGTCCCAGAATCATGTGATCCCCTTTTGTGACTTGACGAGCAAAGTCAGTGGGGAAGCCAGTTTCACTTAACAACGATTGTTACAGAATAACCGCAATGATTCACTTAACAAGAAGGTTACAAAATGGGGCAAAACTCACTTAACAAATGTCTCACTTAAGCGGCAGAAATTTGGGGCTCCACCGTGGTCGTAAGTCGAGCGCTGCCAGTTATAAATATCACCATATCATGCTATTCATGTTTATGGATTTAAGCAGAGAGGAAATCTGTTTTTTTCTTCTGATTCCACTCTTTGCTTCCCCGAAGGCAATTCTGGTCTTCTTCCACTCAAAGGCCAAACGCAAGGGTAGGCAACCTTGGTTCTTTTATGACTCGTGGACTTCAACTCCCAGAATTCCTGAGCCAGCCATGCTGAGGGGAAAGGGAGAGGTTTCCAAGCTGAGCCATGCTGGCTCAGGAATTCTGGGAGTTGAAGTCCACGAGTCATAAAAGAGCCAAGGTTGCCTACCTCTGGCCTAGGCCGCTTTATGACTCGTGGACTTCAACTCCCAGAATTCCTGAGCCAGCATGGCTCAGCTTGGAAACCTTTCCCTTTCCCCTCAGCATGGCTGGCTCAGGAATTCTGGGAGTTGAAGTCCACGAGTCATAAAAGAGCCAAGGTTGCCTACCCCTGGGCCCAAGCGTGATCTGCAGCTCAGAAGATCTCACTTTGTGGTTTCTTTTCAGGTCTGCCAAAGCCACCCTGTTCAGAAGAATTCAAGGAACTGTTGGCCATGCCCTCATCTGGAGCCCGGAACCTCAGTAAACACTTCGACCGAGGTGGGGCCTTAGATACGTTGGAAACGAACAGGGGATAAATGCTGGCTTGTTTGGCTGAGAAGAGCTGTCACATCTTCATGTGGATGAAGGTTCTCAGTCATCCAGGTCCTGGTTGTCCCAAAGGTGCTTTTTCAAAAGGCAACTGGACTTTCTTGGTTTTTCCTTGAAGGCGTTTCGCTTCTCGTCCAAGAAGCTTCTTCAGTTCAACTGAAGTGAAATGAACTGAAAAAGCTTCTTGGACAAGAAGTGAAACATCTTCAAGCAAAAACCAAGAAAGTCTAGCTGCGTTTTGAAAAAACACCTTTGGGATGTCACATCTTCATCTTTCTTATTTCCTTTCTTTTCCTTTCCTTCCTTCCTTCCTTCCTTCCTTCCTTCCTTCCTCTTCTTTCCTTTCCTTTCCCCTTCCTTCCCCCTCTCTTCCTTCCTTCCTTTCCCCTTCCTTCCTTCCTTCCCTCCTTCCCTCTTCCTTCCTTCCTTTCCTTTACCCTCCCTTTCTCCCTCCCTCCCTCCCTCCCCCCCTCCTTCTTTCTTTTCTTTTCTTTCCCCCTTGGCTTACCGCTTCTTTCTTCTTCCTTTTTCAGGATTTACAGGAAAGCCAGCTGTCCACTCCATCTCTGCCTCAGCTCTGCTGAAGCAACAGAAACGGCAAATGTTGGAGGCCCGGAAGCGAAGATCTAATGAAATACAAAGGAGGTAAGAACACTCTTTCAGTTTTGTTCTGTTGGAAGACATGGCTAGATGGTCCTATTTTTTTTTTTAGACTATCCAAGTAGTCCTTGACTTACAACTACTCGTTTAGTGACCGTTCAACGTTATGACTGCACTGAAAAAAGTGACTTTACGAGCCTTGCAGCAGCCCCGTGCCCACATGATCAAAATTCAGGCACTTGGCAACTGGCGTGTATTTATGACAGTTGCAGTGTCCCGGAGTCGTGTGATCACCATTCATAACCTTCCCAGCAGCTTCTGACAAGCCAAGTCAGTGGAGAAAGCTAGATTCACTTAACGACTTAATGATTCCCTTAACAACTGCAGTGGTTTGGGGCATATTGGGTGGATAGCCATAGGAAGACATCAAGCTGGAGAAGTCTGGGCAATTTTGATAATCAGCAACTTTTTGAGATTTTAGGAAGGACTATCCCAAGGGTAGGCAACCTTGGCTCTTTTATGACTCGTGGACTTCAACTCCCAGAATTCCTGAGCCAGCCATGCTGAGGGGAAAGGGAGAGTTTCCAAGCTGAGCCTGCTGGCTCAGGAACTTCAACTCCCAGAATTCCTGAGCCAGCCATGCTGAGCCAAGGTTCCCCACCCCTGCCCTATATCAGGGGTCCTCAACCTTGGCAACTTTAAGACTTGTGGACTTCAACTCCCAGAATTTCTGAGCCAGCATGGCTCAGCTTGGAAACCCCTCCCTTTCCCCTCAGCATGGCTGAGGGGAATTCTGGGAGTTGAAGTCCACCAATCATAAAAGAGCCAAGGTTGCCTACCCCTGGACTATCCCAATCTCTTTTTGGGAGATAACACCAATCTCTGATGGAGCAAAAATCACCTCTAGACAAAAGGGACAGGCAACTCTCCCTGACACGATAATAAAACTTTTTGTTTTTCTGCCAGAATGATCTGTGTCAGCATTCCAGGGGCCATTGTGTTTTCCAGAACGAGAAGTTGTAGCACATTCCAGAAAAAGAACACACTATTCCAGAACATACCAGAATGTTCTTTTACAGGCTTTTTATATACACACAGCTACGGTTACTGAACAAGGCTCCCGCTATCCTCGGCTATTGTCTTCAAAGGGATCAAATAAATGATTCTTACATAAATTTAAAATGCTTGCTTCCTCTCTGGCTAGTTCAGATCAAAGTAATTTCCTCAGGGCCAGCCCTCCCATCAATTTCCACATTTCCCTCTTTTATGTTTTTTGAGGAAGATCTGCTGATTTTTAATTTCTAGTGAATTTCTTAAAGGGATTTTTAGTTCTCCTGTTTTTGCCATTCCTTGAGGTGATCTTCCTGACGAACCCAAGCAAATCTTGGATATTGATCTACTTTCTTTGAGTTTATAGGCTTCAAGGCTGCCTTAGCTACGTAGGAAAAAAAAATACAATATGGATTTTGTAACAGGCTGGTGGCATCCGCCATTCTCAGCTCAGAAAACTGGGACGAGTCCATGCAAACCAGAAGCATTTATTATGTGGAGCTGCTTACAAAATTACATATATGAAAAATTTATCAGAATCTTGTATCAAACTTCTTGTTTTTTTTAAAAAAAAAATCTTTACAGATAGTTCTCGTCTTATGACCATAACGGATCCTGCTGTGATCGTCGTAAGCCATGATGATCATAAAATGGGTCACACATGCAACAGACCCAGTTTTACAATCTTTTTTGTAGTGAACGCCATAGTCATTAAGCAAACCAACAGTTTATAAATGCTGGTTTTCTGCAAAACCAGCATAAAATGCAGTCTGGGGTGCTACAAACAGGCATAAACGTGCCCTGGTTGCTGAGTGGCCAACATTTGGTCATGTGACCACAAAGGGAATTGTCAGATTTTTGAATCTGGTTCATAAGTAGCCCCCCTCTGCCCCCTTTGAACAGTCACTAAGCAGTCATAACTGAGGACTCCCTGTATAGAAAACTATGTTAATTTTTTTTTAAAAAGCTGGCTGGGTGCTGTATTTTCATTTTGTTAAAATAATTTTAAAAAGATGCAGAGAATAAGAAATTAATCAAAGCATATGGAGAAGATGGATAGAATATGTTCAGAAGAAATATGGAACTACAAAATTTCATTTATTTTATGAGTAATGGATTTTTTATAAAATTATGATGTTAAACTTTGAAGAGAGTTAAGGGTTAGTATGATTTTGGTTATTGTATAATTAGTAAACTTAAGTAGATTATGTTTAATATGTTTGTATAACCCTGTACTTGGCTCTGGGAAGTTGGGGGGGAGGGGGGAGGATGGGTTGGAGGTTAAATAGGTCAGATAAGTAGAAATAGTTGGGTTTTTTGTTTTGTTTTGTTTTGTTTGTTTTTTTGTGGTTTTTTTGTATATAATATTGATGTTTTAACTTGGAGAGAGGAATTGCTCGGGCATTTCCCCTGGACTGCATCCAGAGTGAGAAGATAGGAGGAAGGTTGAGGAGAAGGAGGAGAGGAGGAGATTGAGGAAGAAGAGGGAAAGAGGGAAGTGAGAGAAGAGTTAGAGGATGGATGCGGTTTGGGGGGAAATGGGTGAGCAATACCGAAAGTTGTGTGTATAAATTTACTTTATTCTTTATCTAAAGTACTTTTTATGAATGTAATGAAAAATTGAAAATAAAAAAATCTTTTACAAAAAAAAGAAGAAATTAATCAAAGCAGTTTTTGTCTCGGATTCAATTTGGCGAAAGGCGTCATTATCTTGCGCGTTAATCCTCCGGGACATTTATAGGGCCTGATCCAGGATATTATCCCCTTGGAAACGGTCATAAACAAATCTCCATCATTTCCCGAGAGACGCTAAAAACAGACACGGGAGCAGACTCTCTCTGGTGTTTACCTCCTTCACCCAAAATGACAATTCTGTTTTTTCATCTTTGTGTTCCAGGTTTCTTCAGGACTCTGCTCCTAAAAGGACCCCAGCATCACCCTCCTCTGTGGGGCAGGCTGTGGTACAGTCCCCAACCCCAGGGGCCGAGTTTCCTAAAGCTGGACAACTATCCAGCCCCCAGACCCCCAGACTTGGTTCGGGCTTCTCTGAAGGGGGCGACGTTCTCTTTTTTGATGATTGCCCCCCTCCGGCCCTCAAACTGAACCACCTGGCGGAAGCCAAAAAGGTAACAGAGCCCCCCGACTCGAACACTGTGCCAAATGAATTCCTTTTTTTATGTATATATAAATTCCTTTATTAAGTTTCAAAAACAAACATTAAAATACCAACTAGCCTAAAGGGAAAATCGGGGGGTGGGGAGAGAGAATAACAGGACAGGCTGCAAATAGAGGCAAAATAATGCATGCAACAAATGTGTAACCAAAGGGGCCTCCAATGTATTTCAAGTGCAGAGGTAGAAATACAATGCACAGCAAACTTTCTTTAATTTAAATAAACAATGTTTAAACTCTCGTAAAATGATAAATAATCTAAAAATCAACATTTATAATAATAATAGTAGTAGTAGTAAAGTTGGAAGGAACCTTGGAGGTCATCTAGTCCAACCCCCTGCTCGGGCAGGAAACCCTACACCATTTGGGACAAATGGCTGTCCAGTCTCTTCTTAAAAACTTCCAGTGTTGGAGCATTTACTGCTTCTGGAGGCAGGCTGTTCCACTGCTTAATTGTTCTCACTGTCAGGAAGTTTCTCCTTAGTTCTAGGTTGCTTCTCTCCTTGATTAGTTTCCACCCGTTGCTTCTTGTCCTGCCTTCAGGTGCTTTGGAAAACTAAAACTTCCTTAGTTTTAATCGCTGCGGCAATGGATGAATTGATTCATAGGTAGTCCTTTCAATAGCTTGATTCCCAGCACTGCCTGCTAATATTTTTTAGCCATGTAATAAACTTTCTGCCGCTTCTCCAAATCATGGGTTCGCTTGCTTTTTCATTTGAATTACTTATTAATTGGGGTTCCTTCCAAAATTCCCCCCAAATTCCTACTCGAACCATGGATGGAGAATGGGATCCTGAAGGGTACAAAGCTTTTTTTCTTGTTTTTCTTTTTTTTGTTCAGAGAAGGAAATTGTAACGTATGTGGCACAGTTTGGGTGATTTAAATTGCTTATTATATATAACCTATGATCTCTCCGATTGAATTTGTCGGAAAAATCTGTGAACATAGGACATGTGTAACTTTTTAAAAATTACAGTAGTGGTCAAAAATTGTGGAAACCTTTTGGGGAAAGTGTTCAGTAGAAATAAGATAAGATAACCTTTATTGTCATTTTTATACTGTGGGCACAATGGCACACATCAAAAATGAAATTTAGTTGCCCGCTCTCAAAGTGAAACACTTACATGACACACACCTAAACATACTATGAACAGCATATGTATGCTACCTTTGGTTAAGTTTCCACCAATTTTTCTTCTAATTTCTGTATAACTGTAGCCTTGTTCACTTAATAATACTATTTTACATTGCTTTCTGGGCAACCAGTCAACTCTTTGCACCATGACTTTAATTTTATTATGTTTTACAAGCTCACTAAATGAAAGAACACAAAAAAACTCAACCAACTTGATAGCAATCACATAACACACTGACAAATGTCCTCCTCTCAGCTTCAATACTTGACATCAATCACTGGATCCTACTGTGATCTGATTGGCTCATTGCCAAAACAAGATACCTGATTGACTCTCTAAACACTCATGCTCATTGGCTACAATCAGATGAAGGAAAGCTACCTGAGATCAACCTAAGCAAATTGTGCTTCCTTTTTCTGGTTATTTGGCTATAACTTTTCATAGAATACAGTACAGATAATTGTACAAACTATGTTGCATTACATTCTTGATTAAATTATCTTTTCATTGATATATAATTTTATGGTACTACCGCCCCCCCCAAAAAAAGTGGTGTTATTAGCCATCAAACCTCAAAAATTCACTTTTCCCAAAAGGTTTCCACAATTTTGGCCACTACTGTACAGTTTGTGAACGTGCTGTGTTCATCACTGTACACGACGTAACTTCCTTTTGTCGTGCTGGCTGTTCTTACGGGGTTGAATTTTGGGGGGGGGGGTAAAAAGTTTTTATTTTCCATTTTTCATTACACTATTACAAAATACTTCAGATAAAAAGTAAAATAAATTTATACACACAACTTTCGGTATTGCTCACCCATTTCCCCCCAAACCGCATCCTCCCTCTAACTTCCTCCCTTACTTCCCTCTTCTTCCTCACCACTCTCCTCCTCTCCTCTTTCTCCTCAACCTTCCTACTTGCTTCTCCCCTTCCTCCTACCTTCTCATCCCACTCCGGATGCAGTCCAGGGAAAAATGCCCGAGCAATTCCTCTCTCCAAATTACAATATCAATATTATATACAATAAAACTATTTCTACTTATCTGACCTATTTAACCTCCAACCTACCTTCCCCCACCCCCACCCCATCCCCTCCGACTTCCCAGAGCCAACTACAGGGTTATACAAACATATTAAACATAATCTACTTAACTTTACTAATTATACAATAACCAAAATCATACTAACCCTTAACTCCCTTCAAACTTTAACATCGTACAGGGTTGAATTAAAATGGTTGATTGCGCTTCTAATGCCTCCCTTTAGATTGCAGCGATAAGGAAACTGCGTGCAAAAGGGCAGATCCTTTCCAAAGAAGATCCAAACAGCGTCAAACGGAAACGGTCAGATCTCGACATTCCAGGGATTTCTGAAAGAGTGGAAAAAAATATCACCAGTTCAGAAGGTATGAAAAAACACTAGAGTCCATGATGGTTATCAAACAATTACTTTGTCGGTCTATTTGCAGACTTTACGACCACAGCTGAGCCCAGCTTTTATGTTGCTAAACGAGACATGGGTAAAGTGGATTTTGCCCCATTTTATGACCTTCTTGACACAGATCAAGATCAAATGAATCCCTGCCGTTGTTAAGTTGGTAACACAGTTGTTAAGTGAATCTGGCACTCCCCGTTGACTTTGGTTGTCAGAAGGTCGCAAAAGGGGATCCCGTGACACACACACACACACCACGGGACACTGTGACCGTCATAAATATGAACCAGTGGCCAAGCCTCTGGATGTTGATCACGTGACCTTGGGGAGGCTGCAACAGCCGTAAGTGTGAAAAATGGCCTTAAGTCGCTTTTTTCAGTCCCATTGAGGCTTTGAACAGTCAGTAAGTGAACCATTGTAAGTCAAGGACTACCCCGTACTTATTTATTTAAATAATAATAAAGTTGGAAGGGACCTTGGAGGTCATCTAGTCCAACCCCCTGCTCAGGCAGGAAACCCTTTACCATTTCAGACAAATGGATGTCCAGTCTCTTCTTAAAAACTTCCAGTGTTGGAGCATTCACCGCTTCTGGAGGCAGGTTGTTCCACTGGTTAATTGTTCTAACTGTCAGGAAGTTTCTCCTTAGTTCTAGGTTGCTTCTTTTTTTGGTTAGTTTCCATCTGTTGCTTCTTGTCCTGCCTTTAGGCGCTTTGGAGAATAGCTTGACTCCCTCTTCTTTGTGGCGGCCCCTGAGATATTGGAACACTACTATCATGTCCCCCCCTCATCCTTCTCTTCGTTAAACTGGACATCCCCAATTCCAGCAACCGTTCCTTATATGTTTTAGCCTCCAGTCCCGTAATCATCTTTGTTGCTCTTCTCTGTACTCTTTCTAGAGTCTCAACATCTTTTTTACATCATGGTGACTAAAACTGGATGCAGTTATTTGCATGCCACCATTATGAGAGCTGAAGGCAACAAAAATTTCATCTTAAGGTATGCTGATTAGTGTACATTTAAAGTGACAATAAAGTTATTCCATTCTATTCTGTTTCCATAGACGGGGGAGCACCAGAGCCCGTTGAAAAGAAACGGCGCCAGCAACTTGAATACCTGGAATCGGCGGAGTTTCAAGAGATCCTGAGTGCTCGATCGAAACACACCGGCGTCCTTAAGCAGGTGAGCCTGTCCTGCGTCAACTTGTTTTGAACAGCCAAGAATCCGTCAAGGAATTCGGGAAGCGAAGCAACTGCTGAGCCAAAATCGTGACTGAGCTTATGATCTCGCATCGGTTTTCCTTTGTTCTGCAGACTTGCAAAAGTTGTAAATGGCCTTAAAGGCACTTTTAAATGTGGTATATTGGTTGTAAAGGTACTTTTTTGTCACCACCATAACTGGAATAGTTGTTGCTAAACGTTGCTAAACGAGAATTAACTGTACTGGACAATTTAGAAGCGTACAACTATAGTGGTTTTTTTTTAAAAAAAAAAAAACCCTGATGATCCAGTATGAATTAATTTTATAGTAGAACTTGAGGTGCTGGTTAAAGCTATCCTTAAGCACTGGGCTGCAGGTAAAGTAGGGAATGAGAATCCAACCTATCAACAAGGGGGGGGGGGAACACTGAAGTAATGTAAGTATGTTAAGCTAGAAATTTTCCCAGATTTCTTTTTGATAGAATGGGCTTTCCAGTTGTTTCAAACCTGGCATATCTCAAGGAAATTTGCACATAGGTTTGTGTGTTTATGGCCTGGTTTTAAGACAATGATTGTACTTCAGGGTTAAAATACAAATCCTTGTTTAGCAACTGCCTGGGCAATGCCGTAACGCTGAAGCAAAAGTAACTTTCCAATTACTTTTTACCTGCAACCAGTCCTCAAATTTAAAACCTTTGCTGCTCTGTAAAGCAAAGGAAAGCTGAAAGGTTTCCTACTATGGGCATCTTAAAATGTTTAGGTGAAGAATTTACTAATCATTACTTATGGTTTCTAAATATACCTCCTTATTCAGGTTCTATAGCAACATTGTTTATAACAATAAAAATAACTGTTCTCCTAAGGGCAACCTTGGCTCTTTTATGACTCGTGGACTTCAACTCCCAGAATTCCTGAGCCAGCCATGCTGAGGGGAAAGAGAGAGGTTTCCAAGCTGAGCCATGCTGGCTCAGGAATTCTGGGAGCTGAAGTCCACGAGTCATAAAAGATCCAAGATTGCCTACCTCTGGCCTAGGCCTAGGCTGCTTTCTGACTCGTGGACTTCAATTCCCAGAATTCCTGAGCCAGCCTGGCTCAGCTTGGAAACCTCTCCCTTTCCCCTCAGCGTGGCTGGCTCAGGAATTCTGGGAGTTGAAGTCCACGAGTCATAAAAGAGCCAAGATTGCCTACCTCTGCTCTAAGGCATTTGAGCTAGGATGTTAGGTGAAGTCTGATGCTGGTGATGTGGCATTTTGTTTGGGGAGTTTCCTGTTTTAATTGTGTCATGGTTTAGATGTTGTGTTGTGTTAATTTTTGTGCCCTACACACACGCATCAGTGAAATGGGGAAGGAAGGAAGGAAGATTGTCTTCAGCATAACTCATGTTATTTATACCAGTTATTTTATACGGCAAAATTAAAACTTTAATCTCTAGGTTAATCTCTCTTTCTCACTGCCATATCACAGTTTGAGGCCGAGATGCAAGAACGGTACTTTGAGCCCTTGGTGAAAAAAGAACAAATGGAAGAGAAGATGAGAAACATCCAAGAAGTAAAATGTCGTGTGGCAACATGCAAAACGGTAAGCCAAGTGGGAAAGGAAAGGAAAGGAAAGGAAAGGAAAGGAAAGGAAAGGAAAGGAGGAAGGAAGGAAGAGGAAAGGGAGGGAGGGAGGATTATGATTTCCACTTTTCTTCTATTAATTATCCTTTTATTCTTTCCTCTTCTTCTTTGACCCTTGTTAATCCTCCGACCCATAAATTATCAGTCTTTTCTCTTTTTTTCATCCAAAAGTCTCTATAAGAGTTCCAGTCTTCTAGAAAAGTCTTTTATCATTTTTTCCCTGAACAAACTGGTCAGTTTTGCTATTTCTGCAACCCCATCAATTTTCTTATCCAATCTTCTATCGTAGGTATTTCTTTATTCTAACTTTGTGCATACAATAATCTTGCTACAATTACCGTGTGTGTGTGTGTGTGTGTGTGTGTATTTGTTTTCTGAGGTTTTCGCGGGTGTTTGTGTGTAGGTCTTTGGTTATTCGGGTTTTCTCCCGCGTAAAATTGGAAGTGTCTTGGCGACGTTTCAACGAAGTCCCATTCGTCATCTTCAGGCTGGTGTTTTCAGCTTCTTGCTTCGAGGAGCAATATATATTTGAAAGTCTGTCTCTCTTTTTCTCTTTTCACCCGGAAGTGCAACTATACCTATTTCAAACTGCTGGATTCGTGCGTGGCGGAACATCACGATTACCACTATCACAATGGGGTGAAGAGATTTTTCAAGTGTCCCTGTGGGAACAGAGCCATTTCACTTGATAAGCTGCCCAAAAAACACTGCAGGTAGGTGACGGGGTCGTTCTTTGTTTTCAACCCTTGCAAAACAGCTTATTCTTGATGGAATATTTTTCTATCAAGGAAGAGGTTATCCTTGATGGAAGATTGGGGTGCATCTTGGCCAGGCTCTTAAACTAAGCATAATTGGGGGGGGGGGAAATCAGGACATCATTTTCAGCACCAGACTTTCTATGAACAAACTTGGTTTCGTCCTAATATTGAGACCCTAAATGAATCTTGATTTCTCTGCCTTCCTATTTCAGTAATTGTGGCCTCTTTAAATGGGAACGTGATGGAATGCTCAAGGTAAGACTCAAGTAAAAGCTTGCTACCAAAATTGGATCAGGAAGGAAGTCGTTTGTGGGGTCCTTGGTACTCTCTCTGAGCTTGGTGGTTTTCTTGCAAACGTTTCATTACCCAACTAGGTAACATCATCAGTGGTACAACGGGTGAGGTTTGGTCCTTTCTAGCACTGATGAGGTTATTTAGTTGGGTAATAAAACATCTGCAAGAAAACCACCAAGCTCAGAGAGCACCAAGGATCCCACAGTTGTTGTTATCCTCCTCCTCTTCCTTCCACTCTTTTCTAGCACTGATAATGTTACCTAGTTTGGTAATGAAATGTCTGCAAGAAAACCACCAAGCTCAGACAGTACCAAGCCCCTCCCCAATCATCATCCTCCTCCTCTTCACACACCCCTCTCCCTTCTATCACTGATGATGTTACCTAGTTGAGTAGTGAAAGGTCTGCAAGAAAAACACGAAGCTCAGAGAGCACCAGGGACCCCACTGTCCTCCTTCTCTCCCCCCTCCAATACCTTCTAGCACTGATGATGTTACCTAGTTTGGTAATGAAACGTCTGCTAGAAAACCACCAAGCTCAGAGGGCACCAAGGATCCCTCAGTTCAGCTCTGAGCTCCAAATATGCTCTTCTACAGGAAGACTTTTACCCTGAAAATTATTTTTTGCTCTCAGAAAAATCCAAACAATAAAATCTGAAGTTTACAGTATGGCCAGAAAATTCCAAGGAAGTAACGTCAGGGAGATTTGATGGGGAAAAAAATTGGAAATGCATTTGGGTGGGATTATTGTTAGAAGCCAGCTTCTCCTAAGACAGTGGTTCTCAACCTTTCTAATGCCACAACCCCATAATACAGTTCCCCATGTTGTGGTGACCCCCAACCACTTATACATCACTGGGTGCCAGGGGCGTGGCCAAAGAAAAGGGGGGAAAAATGGCGGACAGCCTTGTTTGGCGACCCCTGTGAAATGGTCGTTCGACCCCAAATGGGGTCCCGACCCACAGGTTGAGAACCCCTGTCCTAAGAGGACCTGTGTGATAGCATTACTGTACCTACAGTTAATCACAGCCTGATGGATGGAAGCTTACTTTGATGGGAAGGATTGTGATGGATTGAAGCTTATTTTGGATGGGCAGCAATCACAGCTAATGGGACATTTCCTTTTCCAGGAGAAGAAAGGTCCCAAAATCGGGGCAGAAACTCTTTTGCCAAGAGGAGAAGAACACGCCCAGTTTCTCAACAGCATGAAATAATGGCGGATTCCTGCACTTGGCTATTGAATTTCCCAACTAGAAAACGTCAGAGCTGCCTTCTTCCAAAGCAGCCTCACACAGCTATTTCCCCTCTAAAAACGACAGTCTAATCCGAGTAACTTTTATGTTTTATGTCAAAGCAACCTGGAACGGATGTGCCTAATCCTCCGCTGGATTTGGGAAGGAATGTGTTCTCGGAGATCCTACGGTGTATTTAGGAAGGAACCGTGAAGTCCATTTCTTTGGAACGTTCTCTAAGATTTTGGCAGTTCGAGATGAGGCTGAAAAATATTAAATTCTGTTTTCTGAGATTGAGTTGTATCTGTGAGGATACTTCTCCAGCTTCTCTTTGTCTAAACTGGGTTAGCAATTTTAAGACTTGTGGACTTCAACGTCCAGAATTAAATGGCTGGCTGGGGAATTCTGGGAGTTGAAGTCCACAGGTCTTAAAGTTATCAAGGTTGGACAACCCTGATCTAAAAGTTAATGCAGGGGTCTTCAAACGTGGCTCTTTTATGACTTGTGGACTTCAACACCCAGAATTCCTCAGCCAGCGTGCCTGGCTGAGGAATTCTGGGCGTTGAAGTCCACAGGTCATAAAAGGGATAAGTTTGAAGACCCCTGAGTTAAGGCTTCATCATCCCATCATGGAAATGGGATGTTCTGAAAAATCCTCCTTGCTTTAATGCTGGATTAAAATCCTCCTTGCTTTAATGCTGGACTATTAGATTTTACCTTAGCAAAATTAATATTTGTGCCCAAGTGGTTGAAAGAAGACCCTTGTGATTTTAATAAACCAAGACAGGCTGTGTTTTACAAGCTTCACTTTTTAAATCTTGTTTTAATCCAGTAACGTAACATCTGTTTGCTGATGATTTTTCAGAAGCTAACTACAACTCCCAGCCTCCAGCTACTATCAGCTGTACTAGATATTAGAAAGGGCAGCTGAATGTTGTATTTTAACAAAAGTTTTAAAAGCTGAAACTTCAAACCCCAAGTGAGTACATAGAGCAGGGCTCTTCCATCTTGGCCCTTTTATGATTTGTGGACTTCAACTCCCAGAATTCCTCAGCCAAGCACGCTGGCTGAGGAATTCTGGGAGTTGAAGTCCACAAGTCATAAAAGGGCCAAGTTGGAAGACCCCTGGCATAGAGAGTTCTGAATAGCAATAAAACTTTTAAGAAGGAACTTTCCTGGAAATAATGTTTACAGAATTATCCGTGGGATGGGCAAAACAGTCAAAATGGTAAAATGTGGGCAAGGCTTTGACTATACAGCTGAAGCTCCGTCTTACTAAACTAAAAGGGGTGACTTGCAAGAATTGGTACTGAAACTTTGCCAGCGTTTCATATATATTGAGACTAATTCCACTGCAGCATAATTTGCACTGATAATTTGAATAGTGCGTCCATGGCGTGTCTTTTTTTTCCATCTGTATTTCACCAATTAATTTGTTCCCTTCACTTCCAATAAAGAAAATTGCCCATAATCAGCAGATCTTAGCATATGTCTACTGGAACGCCTAAATGGGCTGCAGCGATTACATTTTTAACCTGTTGTTCTTGTGGAAAATGTATGGTGTGACACAGCAATAAATGTATAAAAGTTTAAAAAGGCTGGATCGTTTATCCCCATCAAAACGTATTTTGCCCCATTCGTTACCTGTAGCTCTCGATCTTTAGAAATTTATTTTGGGGATTCCGGAGGAGTTAATGAGGAGGGTTCCTAATTTCCACAAAGGCAAAATTAATATTAAGCAGACTTGCTCATGATGGGCTTCATGATGGGCTTCAATAACCATCAACCATGGTCTTCTGGACTGGCTGCAAGGGTGGTGACTCGGCAGAACTGTATTGTGTTAGTGCTTCTTCACAGCCAATTTCAGCATCCAAGACAGGTCCTGCCCTCAGCCCAATCCTATGGGATGCCATAGGATGGATGCTTTCTCCATTCCTCTTTAACATCTAGATGAAACCACTGGGGAAAGTCATAGATTGGTCTATAGCCAAGGGTTGAGAAGTCAACAATAAGCTGATGATACCCAGCTTTGTGTCTCTGCTTAGTGATCAATGCTGTTGACATCCTGTCTCATTTCTTGGAGGATGTGTGGCACTAGAATAGAATAGAATAGAATAGAATAGAATAGAAAGGGACCTTGGAGGTCTTCTAGTCTAGCCCCTTGCTCAAGCAGGAGGACCTATACCATCTCAGACAGGTGATTGTCTTAAAAACCTCCAGCGATGGAGCGCCCACAATTTCTGGAGGCAAAGCTGTTCCACTGGTTGATTGTCCTCACTGTCAGGAAGTTTCTCCTTAATTCCAGGTTGCTTCTCTCTTTGGTCAGCTTCCAACCAACAAACAGTCCTGACAAGACTGAGGAACTTTGGGTGTTGGGGCCACCAGGACCCGGGAACTTGCCAGATTGGGTGGCACTGCCCCAGACCCAGTGTGCAATCCGCAGACCTTCAAGATTCATGACTCCTGCTCAAGGAACAAGTGGTACTTGTGGCTACTTCACGTTGTGTGCCACTTATGCCCATTCCTGGACCAAGAGACCCTAAGCTCAGTCCTTTATGACCAGGTCACCTCTACATTAACCTCTCCTCCAGAAGATGCTGGTCTACTAGTTTGCTTCCAGGTTCAATTCAAGGTGCTGGTGATAATCTACAAAGTCCTTCAAGGCCAGGAAATTGAGTCACATCCCATTCTAGCATATTTGATTCCAAACCGTTCAGAAAAAATGGGGGGAAAAAATTTCCCCATTTTTTTTCAGTTTTTTTCCCAGGCCTTCCCATCTCTAGTCCTATCTATGAAGGAAGGAGGGGAGGAGAAAGGAAAGGAGAAGGGAAGGGAAAGGAAAGGAAAGGAAGATATTTTGGAGCCCTCATCCTCATTTCTTTTTCACTATGTAAAGCAAATGACCCGGACAGCATGAATCTAGAGATGTCTTAAACTACCATTTCACTTTTCAAAATATTCCATCTAATTTTGACCACACAATGTCAGCTGCAAAACTACAACGAACGTTAGACGTTGTCAAAAGGTTGATATTTTTCAATATTACAATTGCAGAAAGAGAATGCCAGAAGCTAAAATACATTTAATAAACAGATAAATTGTTATAGGCTGAACAATATCTTTCACCTATATCCTAAGATCATTTGAGATAGATCTGAAAAATGATTGTTTTCCAGCATCCCTACAGAAATACTACTGATTGTTTTAGCATAACGCTTACGAATTTTCTGTAAATGGAAACATGCATATTAGCGATCTGCAGAACTTTAGACCTAATTTGGAAAAGGTACTTTGAACCACATGGGAACAGCTGCCCTTCGTAACTCTTTAAAGAGCTACTTCTTTATCCAGTAAAATTAGAGGGCGGTTCCACATGCTGGGCAAAGATGCAGCTGCTTTCAAAAGCTGTAGATAAATGGTGTGTTTGTGATGCTTCCAGTGGAAGCAGTTTTTGGCATCTCTGGTATTGCCCAGCCCTAATATGCATGTTGATAGATAAACAGATATACACACACATGCACACATACACACAAACACACACACTCCTCTCTTAAAGAGTTGGTCCTGCCAGGAAGTAAGACTTGATAGGGTTGTCTACATATTTGCGCTAGAAAGCAAGAGGCAATTATAAGAAAGACAGTGATAATATGAGAAGGATCATTAACGTAGATGCATTAGAGAACAGCAAATAATTCTAGCCTTGCAGATAGTTTGCCGATTCAATAGATTTCTGTTCCTCTCTGCCGGCAATTCTCCCACGTGCTAATCATAATCGTAGTATTCATACTCGTCCCTTTCACGAGTTCCGTCGTCATGTTCTGTGGAATGGAAAAAAATAAACGTTCAGTTGTAAATACCAGTACGAATACCCAGCTGACAGCCCCCCCCATTTCTACCTCCTCTGTTATGCAAAAACAGTAATTAATAGGTTGCAATTAGAATATTTCAATTACAGTATTTTGAATTTGCATTCATTTGAGGGTATTCCGAATGTCAGAAAATTTGCTCAAAGGATCCATTCTTATGGAGAATAAAATACCCCTGTGTCTTTCTCTTGCTACAGTTAGTCCTTGACTTACGACCACACTTGAGCCCAAAATTTCTGTTGCTAAGCGAGACATTTGTTAAGTGAGCTTTGCCCCATTTTACAACCTTTCATGCCGCAGTTGTTAAGTGAATCTAGACTGAAGTTGTTAAGTTAGCAACACGGTTGTTAAGTGAATTTGACTCCCCCCCTTGGCTTTGCTTGTCAGAAAGTCACAAAAGGGGATCACGTGACCCCGGGACAGTGTGACCGTCATAAATGCGAGTCAGTTGCCAAGCCTCTGAATTTTGATCATGTGATTCTGGGAATGCTGCAACGGTCGTAAGTGTGAAAAACAGTCCCAAGTCACTTTTTTCAGTGCTGCTGTAACTTTGAACGGTCACTAAATGAACTGTTGTAAGTTGAGGACTAACTGTACTTCTCAATGGTATCAGGGTCCTCTTAGGACACGGATAGGAATTTAAAAAAGCAACAATTACCTGATAATTTCCTATTTCTTTTTTCTTTTATCCGTTCTTTATGCGTTTGAAAATAATGAAGCCCTACTGATAAAATCAGAGCGGCTTCCATAGTAGGAATACACGCCCTTCCATTTGTGTTTGAAAAGACTAAGTGAAACAAATTAGTTATTCTTTTAAAACAGCACCACAATGGATCCTTTGCAAAAAAATAATAAAAAAAAAAAAACAATTGCCATCCTAACTGTGGTCAGAGAGGCAACAAGTTCGACATTTGAAGGTGGAGATTTTGAAAAACAAAGACTGAAATGACATCAGTTGAAAATGCCAAGCAAATCTTAATTATCAATCTGGAATAATTTCTGCAACGGGGGAACTGAGTTTAAATAGAGATCTGAAGGTTTTTAAGACGAGATTGGACAGCCATTAGTCTGGAATGGTATAGGGTTTCCTGCCTGAGCAGGGGGCTGGACTAGAAGACCTCCAAGGTCCCTTCCAGTTCTGTTATTCTGTTATTATTCTGTCATTCTGTTAAATTACTAAACTGGCAATTGGATTCTATTGCAGGATTTCTCAACCAAGACACTTTTAAGATGCCTGGATTTCAACACCCAGAAGTCCTCAGCCAGCATGCTAGCTAGGGAATTCTGGTAGTTGAAGTCCAGCCATCTTAAAATTGCCAACGTTGAGAAACACTATTACATGGCCAAGAAATAAGGTAAGGTATTCATTGCTTAGGATACTCAGACTAAGGAGTTCTTAAGCATCGCAGCCAGTATCTGATTGACTTTCTAGAACAGGGGTCTCCAACTTTAAGACTTGTGGACTTCAACTCCCAGAATTCCTCAGCCAGCAAAGCTAGGCCATTTTGGTAGCCAGGTCTGGCATTCCTCACGTTCCTTATCTCAGGGTCCTCAAGCTTGGCAACTTTAAGACTTGTGGACTTCAACTCCCAGAATTCCTCAGCCAGCTTTGCCAAGGTTGAGGACCCCTGTTCTAGACCAGGGCTTTTCAACCAGTGGTACGGGTACCACCTGTGGTACATTGGCACCTGGCAGGTGGTACGCGACCATCCTAGAAAAGTGGTAGCGGGGGAGGGGAATGAACTGAACCGGTGGCAGCACCGCACAAGCCTGAGCGAGAGATGGCTGGAGCTGCAGGGCTGTCAGGGCTCAGCGGAAGCACCAAGATCAGTGCCACTTTCCAGCTGATGGGCACTTCGGGGCTGTCAGCTCAGTGGAAGCGCCAGGATCAGCGCCAGGCTCCAGCTGGAGCTCTGCGCTGATCCTGGTGCTTCTGCTGAGCCCTGAAGAAGCACCAATCAGCTGGAAAGCAGCACTGATCCTGGCGCTTCTGCTGAGTCCAGAAGAAGCACCGATTAGCTGGAATGTTGCAGCCTCTCCAGGGTCTTGTGATTTATATTCAGATGCTTGGCAACTGATTCATATTTATGATGGTCACAGTGTCCCAGGGTCATGTGAAGTGACCAAAACCTGCTGCAGCAGACGGAGGGGGGGGAATAAAAACCAAACAGCCCCCCACCCCATCCCCACTGCCAATCCTCAACAGAAATGCTCACAACAATGAAAACCTCGGACAGGAGGAAGAGCGCCACCGGGTGGGCAGGCAGGCAGGTGACTTGCTCAGCTGTGGCTTGGGGGGGCACTTTTTTCAGTGCCATTGTAACTTCGAACAGTCACTAAGCGAACTGTTGTAAGTCGAGGACTACCTGTACTTTATCACTTTTTTCCTTTCTTTTTGGGGGGGGGGGTCATCAAGTTTTTGACACCTTGCTAGGCGACTGGTGGTACTTGGATATTGCCATATCCTAAAAGTGGTACAATGGGTGAAAAGGTTGAGGACCCCTGTTCTAGAAGACTCTTGAGGACCTATCAAAGCCTACATCTGTTTGAAGGTCCTCCGTTTGGAAGGTCGTCCAGGACACGTCTGGTCCAAAGATCAAGAAATTGAGAAGACTCCATGAAGTTGCCCATCATACAGACTGCAGACAGAGAAAACCTAGCCTCTTGTTTACCCCTTTAGGATGATTGTCTCTGGATAGGCCCCAAGGAATATAAAATAGTAGAAGGGGGTTTTATGCAAACGCTTTTTGAATTTTATCTATCAAGACTCTCAATGGATCCAGGAAAAAAAAAAACCCAACAAGCTGATCTTGAACTTGTGGGAAAACACTAGGGAGGTGGGAAAAAGAAAAACACTTGTTGAATTTTATCTCATTTAGGAGTGATGCTTCCACTTTGGGAGGGCTAAATCAGTGGTTCTCAACCTGTGGGTCAGGACCCCATTTGGGGTCGAACGACCATTTCACGGGGGTCACCAAACAACACAGTCCGCCATTTTTTCCCCCCCTTTTCCTTAGCTGTGCTACTTCCTTTTATTCTATTGGCTTTTGAAAGCCAATAGAATAGACTCTCTTGAATAGAGTCTAATTCTATTGGCTTTCAAAAGCCAATAGGAATTGTCCAGGCTGTCTCTGCCCTGCTGAGCCCACCAAGAGTCCCATTCTGCAAACGGTGCTGCACCAGTTGAGTAGTCCTCGACTTACGACCGGTTGAGTAGTCCTCGACTTACGACCGGTTGGGTGTCGCGGCATTAAAAAGGTTGAGAACCACTGGGCTAAATGAAAAGCAGGATCGTCATAATAAGCCCTTATTTAATAGGTGTCTCAAGATGTCAGCCAGCGCTTCTACATTCGAAACCCTTTCTCAGTTTTTTTACGTGAATTCCTCAATTGTGTTCTTTTCACAGGCGGATGATTCGCAACCTGAGAAAAGAAGGAGTTTTTTGTATCTCTCGTAGCCCTCCGGCGGCTCACCTTTTAAGAACTATTCAAAACTCGAAAGAGAACTCAACGTGAAATGGAGACATTTGAAAGGAAAGTAAGGAATCCTTTTTCAGCGTCACTTCGATGCCACGAAAATCTTTCGTTCCCATCCTCCGATCACCCCAGCTTAGAGTGTAGACTTCCTCAATTTACAACAGTTCATTTAGTGACCGTTCAAACTTACGACGACACTGGAAAAAAAAGTGACTTAGGACCGTTTTTCACACGTACAGTCGTTGCAGTGTCTCCGTGGTCACGTGAGCGAAATTCAAAGGCTTGGCAACCGGTCCCGGGAGGGGTCACGTGATGCCCTTTTGCGACCTTCTGACAAGCAAAGTCAATGGGGAAGCCAAATTCACTTAACAACCGTGTTGCTAATTTAACACCTGCGGTGATCCACTTAGCAACCGTGACAAGAAAGGCATTAAAATGGGGCAAAGCTCACTTAACAAATGCTTCGCTTAGCAACAGAAACGGTGAGCTCAACCGTGGTCGTACGTTGAGGACTACCTGCATTTGTGAGGCATCTAAGTTAGACTTCTCATCACCTGATACCCTCCCATCATCCCCAACCAATGCAGTCCCTGAAAACTGCAGTCTAACATAGGTGGAAACTCCAGGAAATGGATTAGAACAGAGGTCTCCAACCTTTTGGACATCAGGGACCAGTTTATTTATTTATTTATTTATGAGACTTATATACCACTTTAAGTGCAAGCATTCTCTAAGCGGTGTACACCATTAAGCAATGTGTATATATATATATATATATATATATATATATATATATATATATATATATATATATATATTACATTGCCCCCAACAATCTGGGTCCTCATTTTACCTACCTCGGAAGGATGGAAGGCTGAGTCAACCTTGAGCCGGTGAGATTTGAACCGCTGACCTGCTGAACACAGTCAGCTAAAGTGGCCTGCAGTACTGCACTCTAACTGCTGCGCCACCTCGGCTCTAGTTATGTGGAGAGAAGTTTTTCCGTGGACCGGAGGGGGCGTGGTTTTGTGTGCCGCCTGCATCCTGTGAATGGGGCTTTCCTTGTTTGTGTGGACCGGTTGCTGGCATGCTGCAGCCCAGTACTGGTCCACAGCCCAGGGGTTGGGGACCCCTAGATTAGAAGATGAACGAAATGTAATGAATCTCCTTTACAGAGTTGGGACTTGAACTTCTTTTGCTAAGAGATATAGTTGTTCACACCCCATTTTATGGTTTCTTTTTGCCACGGTCGTAAAGTGAATCATGTAGTCATTCAGTGAATCCTGCTTCCCCCATTGATTTTTGCTGGTTGGAAACCCCCTGGAAAGGCCACAAATGATGATCAGGTGACCCCAGGAGGCTGCAATCCTCATAACTACATGCGGATTGCCAACGGTCCAAATTTTATTTGGGGTAACACTATGATGGTCATAAAACGGAGGGTCATAAGTCTCGTTTTTTTTCAGCGCCATCATCATAACTCCTAATAGTTTTAACCCAGCGGTTCTCAACCTATGGGTCGCGACCCCATTTGGGGTCGATCGACCATTTCACGGGGGTCGCCAAGCAAGGCTGTCCGCCATTTTTTTCCCCTTTTCCGGCGGGTGCCTTACCTCTCTTGGGCTGGGCCAGCTGGTGGCCCAGCCGGTGGTCGGCCTGCTCCGTCTCTGCCGCTTGCCAGCTACGCCTCGGCCGGCGATAGGGGGCGGCACCACGCATGTGCGGCGCTCCCAGGCAGGGAAAGTCCTCGACTTATGACCGGTTGGGTAGTCCTCAACTTACGACCGGTTTAGTCCTCGACTTAAGACCGGTTGGGGGTCGCAGCATTAAAAAGGTTGAGAACCACTGTTTTAACCGAAGGTTCGTAATTCAAGGACTGCCAGTAAATTAATGGTGCTTCTCAAAATCTTGCCGTTCTAGATGCAAGATTCAAAACATCTCCAGATGTGTAACTTTGTGACTCATTCTGCATCTGTTCTTACCCTCGTGGTCTTCTTCAGTGATGTTGTCACGCTCGTACTCCCGTCTCCCGTAGTGGGACTGAAAATTGTACATATTGGCTAATGCAAGCCTGATAATTGCTTCCCAGATCTTTGAAAAAAAACCCCTCCTAGATGAAATAGTGCAAGGAACCTTCAGAAAAAGAAAGAAAGAAAGAAAGAAAGAAAGAAAGAAAGAAAGAAAGAAAGAAAGAAAGAAAGAAAGAAAGAAAGAAGAGATAGAAAGAAAGAGATAAAGAGAAAGAGATAAAGAAAGAAAAAAGAAAGAAAGAAAGAATGCAACTGATAAGTGCTTCCCAGATTTTTGAAAAAAAAAAACACTGATAGATGAAATACCTCAGTGCGAAAAACCTTCAGAGAAAGAAAGAAAGAAGAAAGAGAGAGAAAGAGAGAGAAAGAAATAGATAAAGAGAAAGAGATAAAGAAGGAGAAAAGAAAGAAAGAAAGAATGCAACTGATAATTGCTTCCCAGATCTTTGAAAAAAAAAACACTGATAGATGAAATACCTCAGTGCAAGGAACCTTCAGAGAAAGAAAGAAAGAAAGAAAGAAAGAAAGAAAGAAAGAAAGAAAGAAAGAAAGAAAGAAAGAAAGAAAGAAAGAAAGAAAGAGAAAGAGATAGAAAGAAAGAGATAGAGAAAGAGAAAGAGATAAAAAGAAAGAGATAGAGAAAGAAAGAAAGAAATAGAGAAAGAAAGAGAAAGAGAAAGAGATAAAGAAAGAAATAGAGAAAGAAAGAGAAAAGAGAAGAAAGAAAGAAAGAAAGAAAGAGAAAGAAAGAAAAGCAAAGAAAGAAAGAAAAAGAAAGAAAATATCTGAAGTATTAAAAGTTTCTAGTTCAAAAACCAGCTACTTTTTTTGAGTGAAGTAGATATTTATTTGTCTGTCTGCCTGCCTGCCTGCCTGCCTGCCTACTTACCTACCTACCTACCTACCTACCAATTTGCTTTCTATAACCGCCCATCTCAGACTTAGTACGGCTTTGATTCCCAGCCCTTAAGCTGTGTTCTTGTGTACCCTCTTCAGGGCTGCTTCTGCTGTTCCCAGAAAGAAAATGCAAACAACTTTAAGTGCTTTGATTGCTAAAGGAGTGGATGCAATCCTGCAGGAAACCAAAGGAAAGCTGGGTAACTCTTCTGTTTTCTGAAGCATGCCATGTTGGAGAGGCTGTTCTTTCAGCCTGGTTCTTTGGCATACAGGTAAGCCTCGACTTACGACCACAACTGAGCCCCAAATTTCCGTCGCTAAGCCAAGCAGTAGTTAAGTAGCTTTGCCCCGTTTTACGACTTTCCTTGCCACAACTATTAAGTGAATCTTAATAGTCTTAAAGCTACTAATGTGAAGTGAATCTGGCTTCCCCATTGAATTTGCTTGTCAGAAGGTTGCAAAAGAGGATCACATGCAACCGTCATAAATATGAATCAGCTGCCAAGTGTCTCAGTTTTGATCATGTGATCTTGGGGATGCTGCAATGGTTGTGTGAAAAATGGTCCCAGTTCACTTTTTTTCGGTGCGGTTGTCACTTTGAAAGGTCACTAAATGAACTGGCGCAAGTTGAGAAGTACCTGTAACTCAGTTTACGCATCGAAAGAAGTGCTGTAACTACTATCCACGTATCGAAGGTTTCCTTAAGATCCAAGTTAGTCGAAAGAGGGGTCGATTTAACTCTGGAAGCATCACTCTGGAACAGTGGTTCTCAACCTTTTTAATGCCGCGACCCCCAACCGGTCATAAGTCGAGGACTACTCAACCGGTCGTAAGTCGAGGACTACTCAATTGGTGCAGCACCGTTTGCAGAATGGGACTTTTGGCGGGCTCAGCAGGGCAGAGACAGCCTGGACAATTCCTATTGGCTTTTGAAAGCCAATAGAATTAGACTCTATTCAAGAGAGTCTATTCGATTGGCTTTCAAAAGCCAATAGAATAAAAGGGAGTAGCACAGCTAAGGAAAAGGGGGAAAAAATGGCGGACTGCGTTGTTTGGTGACCACCGTGAAATAGTCGTTCGACCCCAAATGGGGTCCCGACCCACAGGTTGAGAACCACTGCTCTGGAAGCATCAGTGTCCAATTTTCAGAATCTACTGTACAATTTAACAACGTGCTGGAGATTTAAAAAAAGAAAAGAAAAAAAAAAGAAATAGCATCCAGCCATTTTTTCATTAACATCCCACAGACCGTCTCACCGTCACGTTCCTCACTGAAGCGTGCCAATCTTTTCCCTTGCTTCTTTAAAAACTTTGAAGCATCCAATTTCTGCACAAAGAGCGTTTTCTTCAGATCTGGAACCAGAGGAACAAGTGAATCTGACCCAGTGGTAAGAAAGCAAAAGTGGACCTAAAGCTAAAGAAGGTTAAATCATTCCTCTTCTTTGGCTCCTATCTTTTTCGCTTTTTCTTCACGCCCCCCACCCCACCGCTGCCCCCTCCCCCCCCAGAGAATTCACATTGGTGTCTCTCTTCACTTACTTTCTTCGCTGGAACCTCCCGTTGTTGCCTTCACGATGTTACGCCTGCCATCTACAACTAGGTCAATAAAAAAAGAACGGAGCGTAAACCATGGTTTGACACTGTGAAAAGAAAGTAGGATCTGAGGGGTCCTTGGTAGGCTCTCAACTCGCTTGTTTTCTTGCAGACATTTCATTACCAAACTAGGGAACATCATCAGTGCTGGACTAGGACTTTGCTTGATATATTCAGGGACTAGCACTGACGATGTTATCTAGTTTGGGTAATGAAACGTCTCCAAGAAAAGAAGCAAGTTGAGAGAGCATCAATGACCTCCCTGGTGTCAACCCTGAGCTACAAAGGTTCCCCTTTAGGATTTTGAAAGTGTCCCAGATTCATTTTCAAAATTATGATCTCTTCCAGCTTTTCCTAAACTATATATGCTCCCTCATCGTCTGTAGCTTTATCAGACTGGAGGAAGTCCTGCATCTTGAACTTTAAAAGAAATAGTATTCCTGAAGATCATAAATACTAACAGAATTAACAACAGCAAAAAAAAACAGAGATGAAAGGAAACTTGGAGGTCTTCTAGTCATCACTCAGGCAGGAAACCCCATCCCATTTCAGACAAATGGTTGTCCAATCTCGTCTGATTAAAAAAAACAAGGACCTTGCTTTGAGTCTTTGTTGTGTCCTATCATTGGAGCATTGGAAACATTTCAAGGTTTGTTCGGGTAGAACAGGCAGAGCTCAACTGATTTCAAAATTTGTCCACTGGAAGATAATCAACAAGAAATGGAATATCCCCAAGCCCTTTGCAGTCTTAACACTATAAGGAAAAACACAATTAAAAAATGGAAGTCAGATATACAATTGTCTGTCTGTCTGTCTATCATCTCTATCTATCTATCATCTCTGTCTATCTATCATATCTATCTATCATCTATCTATCTATCACAGGGGTCTTCAAACTTGATCCTTTTATGACTTCAACTCCCAGAATTCTTCAGCCAGCATGCCTGGCTGAGGAATTTTGGGGGTTGAAGTCCACAAGTCATAAAAGGGCCAAGTTTGAAGACCCCTGATGTATCATATCTACCTATGTCTATCATCTCTCTCTCTCTCTCTCTCTCTCTCTCTCTCTCTCTCTCTCTATATATATATATATATATATATATATATATATATACATATATATAAAATCTCTATCCCTCTATCATCTCTCCTATCTATCTATCTATCTATCTATCTATCTATCTCTATCTATCTTATCTATCTGTCTGTCTATCTATCTATCTATGAATATGAATATATAATTAAAATATAATTAATATTTATATATATATAATATTTATATTATAATTTATATGTACATATAATTTAGCAATTGCAATCTGATGGAATCCAAATTCTATAAGCTTATTGCACTAACGCAGAAAGTTGCCTAAGCGTGAATAAAACTCAAGGTCTTTTTCTTAAATCTGGTTGCCAATCATACGTACCAGTCAGAAGCAAAAAAGCCGTGAAGCAGGAGAGAAACAAGATGTGTCTCCAGTTCATTTTCCGCTGCTTCTCAGCCACACGATAAGGAATGTCGCTGAGACTCTGGGAGCAAGACTGAGCCCAGAAATTGGAGATCTTCCCTTTAAAATACGAGGATGGAAAAAAAAGTTGGCACCATTATTGGCACCTCCTGATCACGCTGGGCAGGACCAAGAAAGCATGAAGTGTCAACACACTCCATGTATTGTGCAAATATTCGGGGGTTGTTCAGTGCGAGCTCTCAAAGCTGGAAAAGAATTGGAAGGGATCACACCCTAGAGAGATGGCGAAATGGGTCTGCAGCAAGGGTAATGAAGAGGCAAGACCTCTGCAGAAAATGTGCCGAAGCCTCCTTAGATGGATCATGCCAATAGCTTGTTGCCAAGAGAAGCAATATTTGTTTAGGGAAAGGCACTCTTCATTCAGAGCTGCTCAAAGAATGGCCAGCGAACTATCCCAGGATGTTGTTTCTGCATCAGAGATCTTATTATTAGCTAATGTGGTATCCAAGCCAAAAAGTAAGGAGATACAGTAGGTCAGATATGTCAAATACAAGGCCCGGGGGCCAGATGCAGCCCGCGAAGTGGTTTCATGCGAAGCCATCCTGGAAATAGTGAGGGAACGGCCCCTGCTGCCTTGGCCCTGGCCCAGGCTGGCCGGGAGCCAATGTACAATTTTGTGGTGGCCATCTATGCTGAAACGCATTCAGTCTTAGCTCCATAAGCCCCCCCCCCCCCCCGAGAGGAACAGTAAGGCTCCTCCAGTGGACCATGCCTTGGCACTTGCTCCGGTCCAACCTCTTCTGCCAGAGACCCTCAGATCTGTCCCACTCCTGCCCAGGCCCCCACAGGCACCCTTGTTAGACACAAAAATAGTCACAAATTGAAACGCACTGAGTTACAAATAGAAAAGAAGTTTATTAGACTTCACAACAAAGTCTAAAAAAATAACGGTTTGCAAAACGTGGTGGATTCAGGAAGGCACTGCAATGTAGCCAAGCACTGAACCACACCCCAAATTCCAAAATCACATATTACTATACATCCTATCGCGATGCCCCATTCCCTCCCCCATGGCCCCATTGGCTTAGGCTTTGGAGGTTACAATCTATCAGAAGCGCCTAAACAGAATACATTATACTAATAAGATCCCTCCCCTACTATCCTATATCAATTCTAGAGGAAAGATGTCTCCCATCTTCTACACCTGTTAGATCCAGTAGGGGTACCAGGTACCAACAGGTACTTAAAAACAATTCCTAGATGGTGACTCACACTGGGCCCCATGGTAACTCCTGTTCTCCCCCCTTCCTCCACCTGAGGCTTGTATGTTCCCTATAAACTCAAAGCAACTACTCAGGCAATTGATTATACAATGATAATTATAAAATATAAAATATGATTACATGATAATACTAAAGCATATATATTTTTATTTTTAAATTTCCCCCACACCCTTGACGTGAACGATGTAGAGCTGGCCATGCCCACCCAGTAGGCCACACCCACTCCATCCACACCCACCCAGTAGGCCGCACCCACCCTGGCCACACCACCCGGCCCCCCGCGGGCAACCGCAATGCTGATGCGGCCCTCAATGAAGTTGAGTTTGACACCCCTGCAGTAGGTAGATTTCCTGAATACATTGCCTCTGGGAAATGCAGAAGTAACTTTCAAACTGGCAAGCCTACAAGAAGGGATTAAGCCAGATAACAGAATAAACAGAATAACAGAGTTGGAAGGGACCTTGAAGGTCTTCTATGTGGTGATTTTGTGCCAGCCTGTGTTCCCAACAGCTGAGTCTGAGGAAACTGAGGAGGAAGTGGAGGAGGCATTTGAAGGGCCATCAGGGTCAGAAGGAGGCTCTGATGAATTACAAGACTCACGGTTTGATGCAGAGCCTGGGCCCTCCAGTCGTGTTCCTGATGAAGCTCAGCTGTGTGAGGAGAATGAGTCAGACTCGGAGGACTCACACCTGATGGGCATGCTAATTGATGCTCGCACACGCCGGCAATTAGCAAGAGTAAATCAGCAGCAGTCAATGCAACAACTCCAGGGAAAAAGGAGAAGGCACTGAGAGGCAACGCCTTGGGACTGCTGTATAAAAAGAGGAGGTGTGGGCGTTGCTGGTTGCTGAAGGCAACCGTTTGCAAAGTACTTCATGGGATCCTGTTCTGTTCGTCTTGCCTGTGACTACTCTTCTGTTTGCATCGTGTTTCATGTGGACTATTTCCTTCATTTAGATTGAGTTTTGCTGCTTTTGTTTCTGGACTATTTGGCAGGTTTGTCACCCCTATTAAAAGGGGTTTGTTTTAAGTCTCCAGCCTATTTTATCAACAGGGGTTTCGTCCTTGTGCCTTTAACAAGGACAGCTATAGGCTGGGATAGAACATTCTAGTCCAGGGGTAGGCAACATTGGCTCTTTTATGACTTGTGGACTTCAACTCCCAGAATTCCTGAGCCAGCCATGTTGAGGGGAAAGGGAGATGTTTCCAAGCTGAGCCATGCTGGCTCAGGAATTCTGGGAGTTGAAGTCAAAGAGTCATAAAGCGGCCTAGGCCTAGGCCAGAGGTAGGCAACTTGGCTCTTTTATGACTCGTGGACTTCAACTCCCAGAATTCCTCAGCCAGCATGGCTCAGCTTGGAAACCTCTCCCTTTCCCCTCAGCATGGCTGGCTCAGGAATTCTGGGAGTTGAAGTCCACGAGTCACAAAAGAGCCAAGGTTGTCTACCCCTGTTCTAGTCCAACCCCTGCATAAGCAGGAGACCCTATCAGAAACCCAAATGGCTGTCCAATCTCTTCTCGAAAGCCTCCAGGGATGGAGCACGGTCTGTGTTTCACAGTCAAAAGCTGGACACGGTAACACAACATTTTCTTTCCCACGTACAGTGCGTTCAATCGTAGATTCAAAAGAGAGTGCCACAGTTTCCCCTCCCCTTTTCTTCCTTAATTGTTTTTTTTTAACCGTGAGAAAACAATGGATAAAAGAAATTAAACTTGTGACTCCTAGCGAGGCCATTTGAGATGAACGGAATCCGATTACAGTCTTAAAATCTATCATGTCTTCCAAGCTATTCAGGTTAAAAAAAAAAAATGGTGTAATTGAAACTGCGTCTAGTGGTCTTTCTGATTTTTGCAGCCCAGATGTGAGGGCATTGAATAGTTTTCTGGTCCACCTTCTTCCTTCTTTTCTTTTTCTTTTAATATAAATTTTATTAGTTTTTATAGGGTTAGGGATAAAATGGGTCAGGATTAGGATTGAGGTTTGGGTTAGGGTTGGGGTTTTCAATATTTAGCAAACAGCGTATTGTCTGGGTACATGTATTAAACTAACAGTAATAGAGTTAATTATCATAAACAGTCTTAATTAATCACTCAGTAGCCTTCTTCTTACTAATATTTATTCAATATTACATATCTCTCTGACTCTAGCCATTGGTAAAAGTTATCCCATGTTCTAAAGTAAACTGAGTCTTCTTTCTCTTTAATCTTTAAAGTCAATCTATCCATTTCTGTGCACTCTAGCATTTTCTTAATTAGTACTTCTTCCTTCTTTTCTTGACCACTGTCCCATTTATTGAAATGTCCATGGTCGGGGCGGGGGAGAAAATCCAACATTAGGTGATCCCTCTTCTCATTTTTCAAATCATGTTTCTAAGCTCAAACATTGCACAGGGAGGAGGCCCACCAGTCCTACAATTCCTGGAAACTGAAGATCCAAACTTGGAGGACAGTTTGGTCCCCAAACTAAATGTCACTGTTTGTTTTTTATTGCGTTCAGCGCATCCTACAGAGCAGCTGCTTTAATGTCTGTGCTGTATTTTTTTGCAGACCCCCCCCCGTCCAAAGCACCTACCAGAAAAAGGTGTCAACATGGCAGACTTGTAATAATCATAATCATAAAGTTGGAAGGGACCTTGGAGGTCATCTAGTCCAACCCCCTGCTCAGGCAGGAAACCCTATCATTTCAAACAAATGGCTGTCCAATCTCTTCTTAAAAACTTCCAGTGTTGGAGCATTCACCGCTTCTGGAGGCAAGTTGTTCCACTGGTTAATTATTCTCACTGTCAGGAAGTTTCTCCTTAGTTCCAGGTAGCTTCTCTCCTTGATTAGTTTCCATCCGTTGCTTCTTGTCCTGCCTTCAGGTGCTTTGGTAAAAGAAACAAGGCTTCAATGGAACAGGGATTGCTGCCATTTTAACTTTTCAGACCAAAACAGGTAATCCTCGCTTAATGACCGTTCAGTTACAACAGGACTGAAAAAAGTGACTTAGGACCCTTTTTCACAGTTACGACCTCTGCAGCATCCCCCACGATCGCGTGATCGAAATTCAGATGCTTGGCAACTGGTTCATATTTACGACGGTTGCGGGGTCCCGGGAGGGGTTATGTGATCCCCTTTTGTGTCTTTCTGACAAGCCAAGTCAACAGGGAAGCCTCTTATTATTTTCACTCATCAACTGCAGTGATTCACTTAAGCACGCTGGCAAGAAAGGTCATAAAACAGAGCAAAACTCACTTAGCAAATGTCTCCCTCCAGAACAGAAATGTTGAGCATAATTCTGGTCAAGAGTCTTTCTGACAAGCCAAGTCAACAGGGAAGCCTCTTATTATTTTCACTCATCAACTGCAGTGATTCACTTAAGCACGCTGGCAAGAAAGGTCATAAAACAGAGCAAAACTCACTTAGCAAATGTCTCCCTCCAGAACAGAAATGTTGAGCATAATTCTGGTCAAGAGTGCCTGGGCTCCTCTTCCATATGGCCCCATAGCCAGGGAGAAGTGTTCCAAGAAGAAATAAGAAGCTTACTTTGGCCACCTCTTACAAAGAGAACCTCTACAAAATGTTTTATAGAGGGCATCTCCCACCCACAAGATTGGCTAAAATGTGTACCAATGTGTCCCCTAAATATTGGAAATGTAATCTGACAAGTGGAACATACTATCATATGTGGTGGGAATGCACACGAGTTCATGATTTTTGGAACAGGATAGTAATAGTAATAGTAATAGTAGTAAAGTTGGAAGGTACCTTGGAGGTCATCTAGTCCAACCCCCTGCTCGGGCAGGAAACCCTACACCATTTCGGACAAATGGCTGTCCAGTCTCTTCTTAAAAA